AGTGCTGGACTCGGATGCTGCTTTCTCCTGACTGGTTGGGTGCAGTTATCAGGGAGGTGGAGAGGGCTACCGAGGCATGAACTGGACCGGGAGGGGGGGGAACGTGAGGGGGAGCACGGGCGCGGCAAATCTATCCTCCTCAACCCTGTCGCCGCCACTGGGGTGTGGGAGGATGTACAGGCAAAAGAGCACCCGGAGACCGCCTGCTGTCTTGATTTAGACTTGAGATTCCAGAAGGGTTCCTGGATGGCGGCTACGTAGACATCCCAGTAATTGGCCCTACTCCGCACCTCTGTAAAGCTCAGATTTAAGGGATAAACTGTCTCGTCTGTGGGCAGAGTTGAGGGATAGAAGTGTGGGGCGCTCTGCGTTTTGTGAGTTAAATGGAGCTTAGGTACCTGGACTCTGAAGCCGCTTCTCCTCCTTCCTTCAGGCTGCTGGCTCAGAACAACTGCAGTTGTGAGTCCAGCGGGGGGCGCTTTGCCTTGCCGTTCCTGAGACAGGTTCGGGCGACTGACCTCACTAAAGCCTTTGACGCTGAGGAGCTGAAGGCCGTTTCTGTCGCCAGGGAGCAGGAATACCAGGCCTTCCTAGCAAGGTACCAGTGAGAAAAGAAGAGCCGACTCTTCCCGGGGAGGGCCAATGTTGTCATAGTGACCCCGTTGGAAGAAAGACCTCCTCTCCTACTGACTCCTTTGTCAACCTCTGCACTACAGGAGCCGGTCCCTGGCTGACCAGTTGCTGATCGCCCCTGCCAACTCCCCCTTACAGTATCCCCTGCAGGGCGTGGAGGTTCAGCCCCTCAGGAGCATCTTGGTGCCAGGTAAAGAAGGAAGGTCTGGGGTAGGGGATGAGTCAGGCCCTGAGAGTGGCAGAGCTACAGACTGGCAGGTGGAGATGTCTGACAACGGGGGTTGAGGTGGAGACAGAGAGACTGGACTCTAAGGTTGTCAGGAATTGCTTATGGAGATAGAACTCTTCTTTGAGAGCCAGCTAGTCAGGACAAGCCACGGAAGGAATGTCTTTTTGATGGGAAGGGAGTTAAAAAGCAGTCACTTGAGTTCTGTAGGTTGTACACAGCCCCTCTGAGGTCTCCACGGGAGAGTCAGACATAAAGTTCTGTACAGCATGGGGTAGAACAGGGTGAGAAAAATGAGGAAGAATTCAAGACTGTGTAATTCTGGCTTCCCTATTCTTCCTCCTAGGGCTAAGTCTGCAAGAAACTTCTCTTCAGGCGATATATCAGGTGAGAGAAAACAGTAAAGAGACCACGTGGGCATGGAAGGTGATTCTTAAAGGGTTCCAGATCCACCCGAGGGATGCAAAGGTCAAAAAGGCAAGAGCAGGGATCTAAGGCTGCTGTCTCTCATCCTCTGCCAGGTGAACCTGACCGCTTCCCTGGGCACCTGGGACGTGGCAGGGGAAGTGACAGGGGTGACTCTCACTGGAGAAGGGCAACCGGATCTCACCCTTTCCAGCCCAGTTCTGGATAAACTCAATCGGCAGCTGCAACTGGTGACTTACAGCAGCCGGAGCTACCAGGCCAACACAGCAGACACAGGTGGGAGGCCCACGGAGGGGAGGGACAGACTAAAAGAACAGAAGGAACCAGAAAGTAAATGACAGAGCGTGGGAGGCCCTCAGGCAATGGCCAGAACAGCCTAGACACACAATGAATGTTGCAAGTGGGCCAGCAGGGCCAGGAGTCAGAGGAGCCTTTGTTTATCTGGGGCCAAAACAGGCCAGGGAGAAACCAGAGCTGGAGAGCGTTCCCACTTCTGTCAGTCATCACGGCTCCAGGAAGTGACCTGTTCAGAGCCGTTTCTAGCCCAACACTTACCTTGCCAAGCTCCCTCTCCCTCCCTCCTTTTCTCCAAACTTCGCTTTGCTGAGCCTGCTCCTACCTTAGGGCCTTTGCATCTGCCATCTTCAGGAATGTTCTTGCCCAAGATTTTTTTTTTTTTCATGGTTGGCTCCCTCTTGATGTTTGCATCTGGGCTCAAATGTTCTCTGTTTGCTTGAGACAATGTTCCTTGCCTCCATTTTATTTAACACCAACACTGTAACACTAGACTTTTCTTATTTACTCAGGCTAAGCGTCGTCATTGTGAACTATGGACAATTTACTTTCCCGTGCCTGAGCTTAGACTCCTGTAATAGGAATTTATTTAATGAGTTACCACGAGGATTAAATGGCTTCATCTATTTAGAACACATTTTCTCTTTCTTTCTTTCTTTCTTTCTTTCTTTCTTTTTTTTTTTGGAAGCCATCTCGTTTATTTAGCTCTGGCTGGCCTCAAACTCACTATTCAGCCAGGCTTAACTCCTTTCCTCCTGTTTCTACCTCTCAAGTCCCAGGATTATAGATGTATGCCACCAAACCCAAGTTACAGAAGCAGGAGGAGAGAAAGTTCAAGGGTAGCCTAGGCTACATAGCAAGACCTTGTCATCATATATATGGCATATAAACATATATACATATATATATATATATATATATATATATATATATATATATGAAAGTTGAAAGTTAGCTTTTATCTACATGTGGTGATGCTCACCTGTATAATCCCAGCACTCAGGAAACTGAGGCAGGTAGAAGAACTGCCTTAATGTTGGAGCAAGCCTGGGCTATATGCAATAAGTACCAAAACAGCCAGGGCTACAAAGCAAGACTCAGACTCAAGAAACCAAAAGGGATGGGGGTGGGGAGAATTTCCTTGTCTTTGCTCCCACATCCTAAACTGTTAAATTTCTGGGTGGCAACTGTAGCTCAATGGGTAGCATGCTTACCTAGCATGCACAGGACCACGGGTTCAGTCCCCAGCGCTGCACAGATGCTGGGACCCCCGACATGATGTCTCCTTAGGAGACACCTGTAATCGCGTTCACTAGGCAGAGGCAGGAGGCTCAAGAAGTTTAAGGTCATCCTTAAACGACCGTGCTGGGAGTAGAGCTGGGTGGTCCCAGCTGGGTGGTAGAGTGCTTGCCAAGCACGTGTTAGGCTCTAAGTTCAATTCCCAACACCACAAAACAGCGTGGAAGTCCCACAGAAGTCAGAACTGTATGTTCTTGCCCACCAAGGTCTGGAAAGCCAGAACACAGATTAGGAGTGTAAATATTGGCCCGGTGAAAGGAGACTGCTCTTCTAGCCTTAAGGGGCCCAATTCCACATCCTTTCTTCCCAGTCCGGTTCTCCACCAAGGAACATGAAGTTGCCTTCACCATCCGCATAAGACATCCTCCCAACCCCCGGCTGTACCCGCCATCGTCCCTACCCCAAGGAGGTGAGGCTCCTGGGATTAGGGAAGTAAAGAGGGGGTTGGCCCTGGGGGTGGGGCTGCTTTCCCATTTCTCTTTCCCACTCTGCCCTGCCTCCCCCGGCCCCTCACTGGCCCCTGCATCTTGCTTACAGCCCAGTACAACATCAGCGGACTGGTTACCATTGCCACCAAGACCTTCCTTCGTTATGATCGTCTACGGGCACTCATCGCCAGCATCCGACGTTTTTACCCTACGGTCACCATAGTCATAGCTGACGACAGCGACAAGCCGGAGCGCATTAGCGACCCCCACGTGGAACACTATTTCATGCCCTTCGGCAAGGTGCGCTGCCCGCAAAGCGGGGGCCCGGGCGCCAGAGGACTCTGGGAAGGGGGCGTGCCTCAGTCGGCCAGGGTACTGATTAAGGACCTCCTGCCTCAAACAAATGTGTGCCTATCACAAGGGCTCCTAGATCAGGAATCCTGCCTATCTTATTCGTTCCGCATTCTTGAAATGGTGATTAAATACCTATAGCAATACGATGGATGGATGGATGGATCGGTGAATCGATGGACAGATGGATGGGTGGATGCACGAAGCAATGAAATACAAGACCCCCAAAGGACTCGAAATCAAAGGACTCAAAATGTCTAGGAAGAGGAGTGGGAACCTCCGGGGTTTTTAAAACCTAGTTTCCGGTCATCGGAAAGCTCTCAAAAGTCTAGAGCGGGACACAGGCTGTTTTTGAGTCAGGGAAATAGTGTCAGGGTTTTCCTGTTTCTACAGACTCCCCAACCATATACAACTCTCCTAGGGTTGGTTCGCAGGTCGGAACCTGGCGGTGTCCCAAGTAACCACCAAATACGTGCTGTGGGTGGACGACGACTTTGTCTTCACGGCGCGCACGCGGCTGGAGAAGCTTGTGGACGTGCTAGAGAGGACGCCCCTGGACCTGGTAGGGGAGGGGAGCCGGATGTGGGGTGGGAGACGGGAGAGCGGAACGTCCTCGAGTGAAGCGAGTTTGGGGGGTAGTGTAAGACATGTGAGGTGCGATAGGTCGAGGGTGGGGCAGGGACACGGGAAGGAAGCGCCCTACTCTCGGGGACCTGGCCTTAGCTGGAGCATCCTCTGGCTCCCCGCAGGTAGGGGGCGCGGTGCGGGAGATCTCGGGCTACGCTACCACCTACAGGCAGCTGTTGAGTGTGGAGCCGGGCGCCCCAGGCCTTGGGAACTGCCTCCGGCAAAAGCAGGGCTTCCACCACGAGCTCGTTGGCTTCCCAAGCTGCGTGGTCACCGACGGCGTGGTCAACTTCTTCCTGGCGCGCACAGACAAAGTGCGCCAGGTGGGCTTTGACCCACGCCTCAACCGGGTGGCACATCTGGGTGAGTGGTGCCCCCTCCTGGCAGGGCGTAGGAATGGGAAGGACCGAGCGCAGCTCTGGGCGGGTCGCGATGCTGCCGCCTGAACCCTCCCACCTACCTCTGCGCGGGGGCGCTAGAGCTGTTTAGAGAGATTGACCAAGGTCTGCACCCGAAACCTCCACTTTCTTCTGCCCGACATCCCACTTACACAGCGCAGGTGCTGGTCAGCCTTGAATTTCCCCTCCACCGCAAAGGTTTACCTCACTGACAGCCGCGTCCCCAGGTTCAGACCCTACTCAGAGGGAGTGAACTGATATTTATGGAAATGAACTCCACACAAGAATAAATCAGAGCGAGAGTGCTTAGCTGCCCTCCAAGCCCTGTATTTCAATTCGGCGTAGGAACTGGCCTTCTCTCCACTTGGGAACTTTGTTTAACCATTGATCTCTCCACCCTCGCCCCAGAATTCTTCCTGGATGGACTCGGTTCCCTTCGTGTTGGTTCCTGCTCTGATGTTGTAGTAGATCACGCGTCGAAGGTGAAGCTGCCGTGGACATCAAAGGATCCAGGGGCTGAAACTTACGCCCGTTACCGTTACCCAGGATCACTGGACCAAAGTCAGGTGGCCAAACATCGCCTACTCTTCTTCAAACACCGGCTACAGTGCATGACCGCCGAGTGACATCTGATTTGGGCCTTCACACTGTCAGGCTGGGCCTGCCTCCTTGTTCCTACCAGGAATTTCCGTCAACTGCCCCCTAACCCCTGAGCACGCCACGGATGAACACCCTGGCTTCCCGACCCTCTCCACCAATCCGATTCGTAACAGGGGCTTGTCCTGGTGACACCCTTCCTTTCTTTCTGTGAGTGACCAGAGGCCTGATGGAGCCATATCCTCCCCCTCAGCCAGTGCCAAGTCCTCCCCTAACCCCATTCCTATGGGGCAGGAAATGGGGAGACTTACTTGCCAAGTGCCAAAGAGCCCAGAAGGACTCTAACACCCTCAAGTGGAAACATGCTCACCTCCTAAGGTGGGCAGGGAAAACCCCAATTTGCAACCCCAGGGACATGCACCCCACCCCAGCTCTGGATCCAGCACCGTGTGTACCGGCTCCAACATACCCCCAACAGAAAGCACTGTGACTGTAATTCCGTGGGGCTGGTGAACACACGGTGAAAGCCATTTTTACTTGTGTCTCTGTGGTACTTTGGGTGTGGCAGGGCTTGTGGGGGGATTGGAAAGCTCCACGTGTAGACACCTAGACCCACTTCATGGGCCTCGGATATTCTCAGCTTCATTCTGTTCGTTGCATTGAGGTGAAGCTCAAGGACCATGGTCTTCCTCTCATGCATACTGCTGGGGCCTCTCACACTCTAAGCGACCGTGGTCAGACCCACACTGTGCAAACCTTTGGGCCAGCAGGTTTCTGGAGAAGAAAAGTGGGCAGTTTAGGAATATTAGGTACCACATTCTCTGAGACCCACCAGTGTTCTGGGAGCAAATCACCCCTTTGGGGACCTTAGCTCAGTTCACCCTTGGTAAAGGGTGCCTCACACTCTTGAACTTGGCTAGAATGTTTGTTTGTTTGTTTGTTTGCTTGCTTGCTTGTTTGATGGATTGGTTGGTTTGGTTATTAAGGTAGAGTCTCGCTATGTCGCTCTGACTGTCTGTCCTAGATGAGGATGGCCTCAGACTCACAAAATCTTCCTGCCTCCGTCTCCCATGTGCTGGGGGATTAAGGTTGTGCCCGCCCCTCCCCTCCTGCCCTCCAATCCACTAGGTAGCTTCTCCCTACTTCTCACTTGATTTTCCTCAGTCCTTTCTCCGAATCCCCTAAGCCCCCTCCCCCCCCTCATCTATTCAGTACCCAAGCCTAGCACCTCCTGGCTCCTACTCATGATGCTCCTCCCCCTTACCAGCCTCTCCAGCGCATGCGCAGCTGCATCCTGGACACTCACAAAGAGTTGTTCTGGAGTCATGCTATCCAGGAGTCCCGCCCTGGTCAAGGTCTCGAGCACCAAGGCTGCGTGGGGAAAGTGGCAGGGCACTGGGGCCTCCAAATCCACCCTACAAGTGTCCAGTCAGTCCCCAACCTCCCGATCCTCTATTCTTCACTCCACGAACCATTACACTGAGCCAGGAGAAGGTAGATCCCACTGTCCTGGCACCTCCTGGTGAGCTGCAGGAATCAAATGGAGAGGTTAAACCCAAATCAAGGGTATGACTGGGGCGACTGGGAGCTTTTCCTTAGCTTGACCACTCCCTCACCTGGACCACTTCCCTGGCCCCTGCAGCATCTGCAAAAGCGATACCGCTGAAGTCTAGGATCACCACTCTGATGGGCTCAGCACCTAAGACGGGAGGAGGCAGATGTGCCAGCCGATTCCACAGTTCAGACCAAATCTCTGTCAACCCACCTCATCTTTGTCAGGTACACTACCTGGCTGTAAATAGAGAATAACAAGATCACAGTTGCCGTCCTCAGAACCTGCCGTCCTCCCAATCCCAGAGCGTCCACACTCCTCCTCTATCAAAATCCTCACCTTAGTTCTTTCTTCAAGCCCCAGATGCCACTCCAAGATGCGGTGGAACTGCCCACGGGTTGCAAAGTAGAGGGGCGCTGGATAACTCAGGATACACAGGCCTGGAACCTGGATGAGCTAAGGGGTAAGACTGTCAGGAAGGGCCTGTCTGACCACTCCTGCCTTCTTAGGCTACATCCCACCCACCTTACGGCTCTCTCTGATTGGTCTGTAGAGCTCTGTCCCCTCAGCCAATCCAAGTGGCAGGCACTGCACCCTAAGGAAGAAGCTAGAGTCAGAGTCTCAGCCTTCCTCGGTAGTCAGGCCTGGCTGTAGTTACCCCAGGGTATCTATCCCCCTTCCCTCATTTCAAGGGTGCCCATCTCTGTGCTCACCTCTGAGTTCGGCAGACCACTGTCATCATAGAGACGACCACACCCACAGCCAGGCCCAGGTCAACATTCAGGGTCACGACAGCCACCCAGGTGACCATCCACACAGCCTGAGGGACATAGATATCGGTGGATTCCCCAGAAGGAACACAGGTTCAAGGACAAATACGAGCAAGGATGACCCAGGAGAAAGGAAGCATGGTAGGTGGAAGAGCTCACTTAAGGATACACACCGAATGTAACATTGGACCCTGGGCGGGCTAGGAGTCTGGATTGGAGTGTAGTTCAGTGGTAGGGAACTCTTCTAATATTTATGAGGTTCTGAGTTCAATCTTCAGAACCACCCCCAAATACCTCCAAACAAACACTCAGGCATGGTGAACTCCATCCTACCCTCTCCTCCCCCCCCCCCACCGGTGTCTGTCTAAGGTCTGTATGTTGGAAACTGCACAGATTAAAGAATTTAGGGTGGTCAGCTTTGGTCCATGGCAGAACCAGGGGGTGCTTGGGGGGTGGCAACCTGACGTAGCGCCATTTCTCACAAAGTCCACACGGCTGATGTGCCATAGCTGTGGAAGTTCTTGCATCTGGAAGAACATCTGGCGCATGCTGGAGATATTGATGCAAGCCAGGACAGCCTTGAGACAGAGAAAGATAGGCCTTCATCGGGAACAAAGCCAGCCAGTTCCACTCAAGCGAGTGAGCGCCTCTTCTCCTCCATACCTGGGGCAGGTAGTAAAAGAAGGGCCCCAGCCACAGCAGCACCGCCAGAACCACTGCACAGGAGAAGAGGCCCGCCAGCTGCAGGGAAGGAAAGACATAGACAAGAGAGGGAGGCTCTCCTCCACCCCCACCTGCACAGGAGTTGCTCTCCCTGGCCAGCCAGCCTGTCCCCGCCTCCTTCAAAACTCTCCCTCCTCTCCAGAAGTCTTCCTCCTTCCAAATTTCCTTCCACACAGACACATGGCCTTCGTACCCCATTCTTGATGTTCTGCCAGTCACGTTTAGCCCCTCTCCCAGTCACGTTTAGCCCCTCCCCCAGTCACGTTTAACCCCTCCCCCGAGTTAAATGCCTATCACTCGCCAACCCCTCCCAGATGTGTGCAGTCCAACCTCCTTATTCTTCTAGCCCACCTCCACATGCAAAGGTCCTTTGGTACTGATGCTTTGAGAAGAAGGCTAGCCATCTGCTTGGAACATCAACAAAATAACAGGAGAAACAAAACATATAAAGGTGGGAGTGGTGTGTAATAGTCCTTTCCTTTTTTTTTTCTTCTTTTTTTTGGAATTCTGTTTTTGAGATCCTTATGGGAAACATCATTTTTTAATCTTCTACATTTATAGGTGTGTGTGTGTGTGTGTGTGTGTGTGTAGAGGCACAAGTGTGTGCTAGGATAACACACCTGTGTCCCAGTCCTTGTAGAATTCAACACCGGGGACTCTTCCTTCATCACAGTCCACCTTATTCATCGAGGCAGGGTCTCTCAGTTGAACCCAGAGCTCGCTGATACAGACTAGCCTAGTCAATCCACTTGCTCCAGGGCACCCCACCCCATCCCTGCCTTCAGGACAGCTCCCCATGCCCATGCAGCTGGAGGATTGAACCCCTGTGCTCAGGTTTGTGCTGTAACCACTAAGTCGTCTCCATGACAACGGCAATTTTGACAGTCTCTATGTACCCCAGTCTTCCTTGAGCCACAAATACCTCTCTGTTCAGTCAGCCTTCCTAGTTCCATAACTCTGGGTGTGTGATACGACATCCAGCTGGATTTTTTTGTTTTGTTTTTTGTTTTTTTGTTTTTTCTTTTTTTTCTGTTTTTCCTTTTTTTGTTGTTGTTTTTTGTTGTTGTTGTTTTTCGAGACAGGGTTTCTCTGTGTAGCCCTGGCTGTCCTGGAACTCAGAAATCCGCCTGCCTCTGCCTCCCAAGTGCTGGGATTAAAGGCGTGCGCCACCACCACTGGGCCAACATCCAGCTGTTAACTGTTCTTATTTTTAATCACATCTGCGGCATCAGCATCGTAGCTTTTGTCAGTGTTTACAGCCGATGGAGGTCCTCATGAAGTTCCGTTATTGTCTAACCCTTCCCCCATCCCATAATCCCTTCTCCCATCCCATCCTCGGATACATAGATGCTACTGGGGTATACACCTGTTACCCACTCTCTTCTGCCACCCATGCTGAATATCCCGTCCTTTCTCCTCACCTAAGGATAGCCTTACCTGTGTATTCCCACCAGCATCCACTAATAAGCTGGTTGTAGCCAGTGTGGCCGAGTTGGGAAAGCAAGAGAAGAGAGAGGAAATGAGGTTGGAGACACCGTGGGCCAGGAGTTCCTGGAAGGAAGCACTGGGATGAAGATGAGGAAGACATAGGCATGGGAGAGTGAGGTTAGGAGGTTAATTCTGAAAAGGGATGACATTCACAAACAAGTCACACCTGGTTTGGGTCAATAGTGTAGCTGTACTTGTCTGCATAGATGGAGGCCAGAGAGGTGGACACAGCAAAAGTAACCAGTGAGATGGACAGCGAGTCAGCCAGTATCCTGGGCAGCTCATCCAGGGCGGGGAGGAAGGGTTGGGGAAATCTACGGAGGGAGGGAGCCACAATAAGGATGGGTCAGTGGGGCGCTTCAGGGAACAAAGCAGAGAAAACAGGAAAGGGCGGGGCGAAGGAGGGGTATCTTGAAAGAAGATGGAGAAGTCTTTCTCTTACCCTCCAGGCAATAATCCCACTACCTGGACATTGTATCTTGTGTCCAGGGAAGAGGTGAAGCACAGTACCGTTGCCAGAAGCACCTGAAGACAGTAACACGTTAGGGCCTAGAAAGAGCTGGGGGCTTTGGCAGAGGCTAGAAGAGGCTTAACGTGAAAGAGAATCCTAGTGTGGGGGCGGGGCTCTCAAGACTGTAGCAGCTGGTGAGACCACAGACTAACTCACCTACAATGGAGGAAGAGGCGGTGTTTGCCCGGAGAGATAGACAAAGGACCTAAGAGGAGGTCCTTTGGGATTGATGGACACAAAAGACACACTTGAGCCACTTGAGCCATTCTAAGCGGAGAGGCGGGACTAGGTCTGAGCACTTTTGAGTTGCCTGAGGAGAGCTATGACACTCAGTTACACACAGGAGGAGTTATCTAGGTGGGCAATGAAAGGAACTACAGTAAGAGCCCCCCAAGGAGAGAAAACGTGCAGTGGGAAGGAAAGAGAGGAGGAAAGAGGCCCCTGGTGCTCGATTCGAGAAGTGAGACAGTGCAGGTGGGGGCTTCGGATGGGTCAACTGCTCTGGAAAGATGGTTGGAAAAGTACGCGTCGCTGCGCCCTCTTGCTTGTGATTTCTCAGCATTCCACGAGGCGGCGGCAGCCTCCAGATCCCACTAGCTGGGAAGGATCCGAATACAGTAGAGCCCAGGGATCTAGAGCTGCCCTCACCATGACAACTTCTCCTGGGATCGGAGTGGGTAGCCTGTCCCGGAATCGCACGTTTAGTTCCTTGACCGGCACTAGCAACGCCAGGCTGAGCGCCGAGATGGTCAGTTCTGCAGGACTGCTCTGGGACAGCGCGCCGAGCACCGCAGCCAGCGTCTGGGGCAGGGACAGTGAGCAAAGTCCAGGTGTCACCGTTAACTGACCCCGAGAGACTCAATACCAACCCACTAGACCGGGGCAAAACTCTCTCTCCAGGTGCCGTCAAAGCTTCTACGTCCCCAGCGCCCTCACGCAGTGCCATAGTCCCTTACATTCCTTCCCTGTTGCCTATACCCACCCCTACCCTCCGTCCCTATAGAGTCGCCCCTTTCCCATGACTTTTAGAAATCTCTTTCCTCCACCTTGAAGAGAGAAAAGCAGCCGATCTGGCGTGGGAGAGACAATCCCAAGAGGCTGGGCAGCTGCGACACCAGCACGTGCAGCGCGGCACCGCTGGTCAGCGCTTTGACCACAGGCTCGGATAAAAAGGTGGACAGGACACCAAGCTGCAGCACGAACATCCCCAGCTGGAGAGAAGGCGGCAGGAGGTGGGGTCGGGGGTGCGAAATCTCCAACAAACCGGAACCCGAGTTCAGGAGTGTTCTTACCCTCCCCTTCATCCTCTGGCCCAATTGTTCTGGTCCTTTTCAGTAAAGCCATCCCCTACGGTCCTCACCGGGTCGGGTCCGCGCTTACCATCAGTGTCCCACTCCCAAAGGCCACAGCGGCTGCCGCCCCAACTCTGCGAGCTTCCCATTGCTCCCTTTCGATTCCACTGAGGTTCCCCGCGAGGGGTTCGGGCACCACCCTCTCGACAACAGAGCCAGTCATTAGACTGAGTACTGCGAAAGTTCCTGCAGCCATGGGCCAAATGCAGAGATTAGCAGTCCTGCAGCCTGGGACAGAGCAGCAGCCCGGACTCCATGGTTCTGGATTCTCGGGTGCGTCCAATCCGCTCTCTTAGAGACTACTCAAGACCTTGGGGTCACGAGCTCGTGCAGAAGCCAGGAACCGGTGCAGAAAAGAGTGCACCCACGGAACCGGTGGGCAAGGAGGAAAAGAGGGTACCCACTGGCAAAAATGGCCCCCTCCACATGCTCTCACTGGACGATTGTGCACCTCTTTCCCTTCAAGGTCAAGGTCCCTTCAAGTTGTTCCTTTTAACCAAATGTCACAGGGGACAAGGAGATCCTTGTAAATTGCCGCCTCTGTACCCACTTCCAGCAAGCCTGGGGAGGTGACAGAGTTCTGTGCAAAGAGGGTGGAAGCCAGTTGGGAATCCCAAGAGAGGTGGCAAGTAGGGGAGGGAAGGAGGCAGAGGGGAACATAGCCCCTGAGCTTCCAAGTAGCAGCCTTGCCAAGCTGTGTTTGGCCCACGCTTTTAATCCCAGCACTCAGGTGGCAGAGGCAGGCAGATTTCTGAGTTTGAGACCACCTGGTCTGTGGGGAGCTTCAGACCAACTAAGACTATACAGTGAGACCCTATCTCAAGGGAGGAAAAACTGCCTCAAGCCCCTGCCTATTTTCATCCCAAAGAGAAGTCATGGGCAGTCACTCACCAGTGGACAGATGTCTCCCAGTGCCCAGCAAACTGTAGATGAGGACGGGAAAGAAAGAAGTGTAGAGTCCGAACACCGGGGGCACCGAGGTCAGGAGGGCAAAAGCCATGCCTGGGAGGAGGGCAGGAAGTAAAAGGAATCAGGGGTGGGGGGTTGGGGGTGCACAACCTCCAGATACTGCCTCCCCCCCCCTTTATTTTTTGCTTTTGTTTTTGTTTTTGTTTTTGAAGACAGGGTTTCTCTGTGTAGCCCTGGCTGTCCTGAAACTCACTCTGTAGACCAGGCTGGCCTCGAACTCAGAAATCTGCCTGCCTCTGCCTCCCAAGTGCTGGGAGTAAAGACTTGTGCCACCACTGCACGGCCTTTCCCCACACTCTTGGGCTGGCACCTGATACTATAAATCTAAATCATGACACCTGAGGGAACTAAAAGGTTAATGGGCCTCAGTGGGAGGTCGTGAGGCTGACAAGGTCACAGATCCTTGCCCAAGTCCTGGGTGGCAGGTTTTGTGCCTCTCTCCAAGTCTCTGAGGTGGAACAGAGTCCAGTGTGTCTCACAGGATTGCACAGATGAGGAGGGCTGGGGGTGGGGAATTATGGCGTTCCACAGTCTTCCCAAACTGAACCTCAAGTTCCCCCCTCTCTGATCCTCCTACCTGCAGGGAAGAGTCCACTTCCTCACTGCAGGACTCTTCAGCTCCCCAAGCCCTTCCCTGGATGCGCCCATAACTTAGAATCCCAACAGGCTAGAGTTGGGGACTCTTACCCTGGGGCACGTGCACAACGCCCACTGTTATTCCGGCCACAGCATCTCCGAGGAGCCAGGCTCGCCAGCGGTATTGGGGCAGCCAACGCAGCGGGGGCAGCCGTGCTAGCAGCACGCGCCACGCTCCCGGCCCAGAACAAGCGCTGGCTCGCCTCCTCCGCAGCCTGCACAGCCAGGGTAAGCAGGGCTCTGCTGGTAGCTCAGGCTCCTGCTCTGCGCCCCCGAAGAGCTCCTGGAACCGAGCGTGGGTGAGAGGTTCCCTGAACCTTGAGCTCAGAGGAGACTTAAGGTCGGAAGCCTCCTCCGGATCTGAGCAGGTCCCAGAGACAAGTGGTCCACTCATTTTGTCTTTGGCTCCCTGCAGCATCTCCTGGTTTTAAATACCCTCTGCGCCATCAGCCCTGAGCCCGCCTCTATAAAGCAGGGTCCAATCCGGACCTGTAGGGAGTACTCTCTAGAGTACCTCCTTGGGTCGAGCTTGGGTGGAAAAAGTCCCTGTGTTAGGCGTTTCCTCAGACATCCTTAGCTACCTACCTCTGAGTGCCTGAGAGCCTGGGGACCTGCTGCGAGGGTTTGAGGAACCACAGGGAGATAAGAGACCCACAGTCACTTCCAGTGACGGTCCCCACTTCCGGGGGGGGGTATTTTCTTCATCTGCACTTTGAGCAAAGGCAGAGCTGGTTCCTTTGGGTCACAGGTTTTTCCTTGAGCCTCTGCATCCCCCACCACCACTGGAACACAAAATTCACAGCCAGTTGGGATTCCCCACTCAAATCCCATTCCTCGTGTGGCAAGCTTGCCCCAAGAAAAGTATAAGAGGCTTTACTGTTTTATAAGCTAGTACATGGTGGACAGGGACAGGGACAGAGGACACTCTACCCTCTAATAGGGGTGGCCGGGCCTGGTTTAGGGGAAATATTGAACTAACAAAGAAAATTTGATTTTCTTTGTTAGGAGCCCCAAAGTCCTGTAATACTGTCCCTTACATCCCATTTTATTCTCAAAGCAGGCATTCAAAAGGGTGTGCTTAAACTAAGGGTGTTCTGCATGCTGCTGAAACTGCTGTCCATTGCTGCCTTGGCTACCCCGTTACCACTGGCGCTGATGGGCCTGGATACCCAAGGGGCACAAAGAGGCCATGCACCCCCTGCATGTACCTCTGTGGTCCCTGAAGAGACACAAAGGTTCTGAGCCTCAGGATTCTGCTGTTTGCTGTCATCCATTCAAAGACACTTTGGCATCCCCCATCACTCTGTGATCCCCCCCCCCACCAAGTCCCTGACCCCAAAGCCGAGGGTGGGGTCCAGAGAGGGTGGGCCTCTCCTCTAATTCCTCCTATTGTTCCCCAGAAATCTTATCTGGGCCTCACGTCCTGTTCACCCCCCTTAAAGATCCCTCCCCTCATTGTCAGTCATGGAGACCTGGAGCCCATAGGGAGGCTCCCAGATCTGCCGACCTCACCCCCACCCCAGTAGTCTATTGTCTGCTGAGGAAGCTCCAGTGCATGTGACTGAGCCCAGGGGACTGACCGATGCACGGTGGACACACAGATACATAGGAACCCAGAGGCGGTCAGCTGGGTCTCTGCATGCTTGGCTGTCCCTGTTCCAGAGGCTGTGCCAGAAGCAGGGAGGAGCGAAGACATCTTCAGCTGGCCACCTTAACTCTGGGTTTAAAGAATCCATTCCTACTCAGCGTTCACAGACCTTCCCCTCAAGATGGCAAAGAAGGCTCCAGAGCTGCTCCATCCTCTCGTTCTTCAGCAGAACATGGACACCTCAGAGGAAAGGTACCCAGGGTGCTTTGTGCTTTTAGATCTAGGTGTTGGGGCGGGTAGTAGGGAGACATAGTACGGTGAGCCTTCTGGTGTAGTTTGAACCAAAAGGTAGATCTAGAATCCAGAAGCCTGAATAAAGGGGAGAATATATTAAGATAACTCTAGCGTTTTCTCTAAGCCCGAGGACTGGACCAAGAGATGCTGCAATTGATTACAGATAAAGGACAAAGATAGAGGTCTCTCTCTCTCTTTTTTTTTTGGTTTTTTGAGACAGGGTTTCTCTGTGTAGTTCTGGCTGTCCTGGAACTCACTCTGTAAACCAGGCTGGCCTCGAACTCAGAAATCCGCCTACCTCTGCCTCCCAAGTGCTGGGATTAAAGGGGTGCACCACCACCGCCCCCGGCAAGACAGAAGTCTCTTATCTTCTAGCCTTCTCCTTTTACTGTTTTTGAGGGAGGGTCCTCACTCTGTAGACCAGCCTGGCCTCGAACTCAGAGATCTGCCTGCCTCTGCCTCCAGAGTGCTGGAACTAAAGGTGTGCACCACCACATCCAGCTTCTACCTCTTCTTATTACCAGGGCCCTCCTCAGATGACCTGTTCTATGCCACCTTACCAACCCATTCCCACTGCAGCCTCGCCACCTCCTTCCCGAGACAGCAGCCTCAGTGATATAGCAAAACTTTTATTCACAGGAAAACATTGAAAAACAAAATCACAACCCAAACCAATAATTTCTATCCGGTCCCTGCCCTCGCCCTCCCTCCAAGCCCCTACACATCCGCCATTTGAAGAGGTTGGTCGTGGTGCATGCTGGGAGTGGAGCTGACTGGATCCTGTGTTCCTCCGGCAGAAAGGAGTCCTTTCAGGTCTAGGTACTGCCCTCCAGGTTGGACTCTCTCCCAGTCTCGTCCACCCTCCACACACTGGGAAGAATGGATTCTGGCACATTGCCAGGATTCCCCCTCAAATTCCTGGAGGAATCATGCCTGAGCCAACAGCACTCCGAGGCTTTCGGGGTTACAACTCATCTTCATCCAGCTTGGCAAGCCTGGCCTGACAGGGAGGAGTGTTCACAGTGGGAAGAGCTGGAGAGTCATGAGGAATTTGGGGGGTATCACTGAGAACCTGATGAAAGATTCAAGTCAGAGGATCAGGCAAGGCTACCAGCCTTCCCTTACTACCTCTCCAGCTAAAGACCCTAGTCAGGCCCCTCCTCTTGCTCCAGAATGAAGGAGAAGAAAGTTAAGGATGAAAATTAGGAAAAATCACACAAAAGGATAGTGGTAGAAAAAAAGAGATGGAGGTAGGGGTGGGGACAAATGCTCTCCCCTTTCCGCTCTAGTAGGAAACTATTCCTCATACCTGTGTATCCAGGGGCAACGGCGCTCTAGGCACCTCCCCTCTGGGCAGAAGTAGCAGGGAGGGGAGGGAGCCATTGATGGGTGTGTGCATGCTGACCTGGGCCAGGTCTCCAGGCCGCATTCTCCAAGGGCTCCCTACCCCAGGCCCCCCTGGCCGTCCCAGGCTGTTGGTCTGGCTCTCCCGTCTCTGGTATTCAATGGGTGACTGTAACGCTGGGACAAGGGAAGGAACAGAGATGTATTACAGAAGAGACAGCATTTCCTCTGCCTTCTCTCTTTCCTATTTCCCATTCTCCTCATTTGGACAATGTACGGGTACGTGGAACTTTAGAGGGTTCTGGGTGGGTGGAGAATGGAGAGAAGCCAGCCTCAAAGAAGAAGCAAGGGTTGGAGACAGGAAGTCATATAGCTTTGGGGGCCTCTGTAGAGGGAGGATGGGGGCTTCACCATTGAGAAAGTCACGCTGGCTTTCCAGGATCTGGGCCACTTGCTTGATCCAGGCTTGACTGACAGCAGGGTCTGAAGCCTGCAGAACATAGCGCTGGATTCCACCTTCTGGCCCTCTAGAGGTCAGTGCAAAACGGCAAGGGTTGCCTTGGAGATTCCGCTCCAGCCCTAGGCAGCTCACCTGGATTGGCAGAGAGACAACCCTCAGATTCTGCAGACCCTTCCTCCAGCCCCAAGAACCTCTCCCCATCGGGTCTGCTCCCTCCATATGCCCCGCCCCACCCACCCCAAAGGAGCTGCTCCCTCCATATGCCCCGCCCCACCCACCCCAAAGGGGCTGCTCCCTCCATATGCCCCGCCCCACCCACCCCAAAGGGGCTGCTCCCTCCATATGCCCCGCCCCACCTTGATGCTGTTCTTGTACACATAGCCAGGCTGCGCGCCTCGGCCTCCTCCTCCCAGGGCCTCACTGAAGATGACGATTTGCTCGAACAGGAAGACTCGCCTCTCCCGACCCCGGGAAGAAAGCAGACCCCCAGCTTCAGGCTCTGTAACCAAGAACGTGTCCTGGCCCAAGAGCTTCCCCTGAGCAGTCAGTTTTCCCTGGAACCGAAGGACAAGGCCTCTGAGAAGGCGCAACAAGAGTTTGAAAAGAGCGCATCAGCTCCTCTCCCCTCCCCCACCCCAACACGCCCAAGGAGGTAATTACTCAGAAGGATCCAGAGTACTAAGACCTGAGCACAGGGATAGTTCATTCCTGTGTCCCGCCCCATTCTCCTACCTCAAATCCCCGAAGTCTCCCCAGGGACATCATGTCATTGCATCGCTTGGGTACAAAGCACATGACCTCCACAGCTTGCTGGGATACAGGTGAAGAGAGGCATGGTTGGACAAACAGATTCATTACTGGCAGAGAAGCTCCTTTTGAGAGAGCCTCTCCACACATCACCATGACAGGGGCCTCTCCCTAAAAACCAGGCATTCCCGAACCACCCAGAAACTGTGATACCCACAAGATGAAGAGAATGAGGCAGATACGGTGTCCTGGGGACCTCACCTCCAGCTCCTCAGTATCCATCCCAGCTCTTCTGTAATACTTTAGAAAATCCTACAACAAAAAGAAAGCTCTGTAGAGCCCTCAGACCCTAAAGATGACCGAGGAAAAGCCTGTCCCCAGCCAGCTGTGTCCCCAGGGAAAAGGGCAGTCCTGTCCCCAGGGACTAAGGTGGTCCTTACCTTCAGCAGCAACTGGTATTTCATGATTCGCTGCACTGGTTTAATGAGGAGGTCGTTGAGCTGCAGTCGGTGTCCCAGCTGCTGCCTGAGCTCCTGGGGACAGGGACAGGGCAGTCATGTAGCATGAAAAACCTGTTCACACTAACCCTGTCCTTCCCCCCAAGGCACCTCAGCCACTGACCTCAAAGTAGCTGTCCCCAAATTCTGACAGCACATGTTCTGACTTGGGTTTATTCTGGCAGTACACCACATACATATGCAGTCTGCGCTCCTAGCAGGGATAACGTTGAAGAAAGTAGGGTGGATGGTGACAAAAGAGAGAACCCATCTCCACCGACCCCAGACTCATCCAAAGCCCCACCCCTGTTAAGGCCCAGCCTCACATGTTTGATGAACAGCTGAGCCAACCAATCAGGATCTTTCAAACACTGCTGCAGCTCCTGCAGGAAATAGCTGGAAGAGTTGTGAGAGAGACAGCACCTCAAACACTCCTCAGAGGGCTCATCTCCACACATCCCAGATTTTCAGCTACATGCCCTAGTCACTCTTCCTACAGCGGCTCCTCGAATCCCAGTGGACCCATGGTTCGAATGTGGAATCTAGGATAGACTACCAGAGAGTGCCCTTCCCTGGCACCTGGCTCGGCTCCAGTACTCACTCTCGGTGCCACTCATAGATCTGTTGAATGTTCCCAAACACAATCCTGTCACGACCTCGGAGACTCTCGGGGACCCCCTGAGTAGCCATAGTAGCCATATAACCCTGTGGGAGGGATGAGATAGGACTATGATTACGTAAACTCGGCCATGGGTTGACCCTGCACAAAGTCCAGAAGTAGAGGGAATTTGTAAAGTGGCCCAGAGGAGCAACCTCTCTTAAAAATATCCCCAGGCAGAGGGAAAAGGTCAGTGGGCCATGGCTGGGGAGGAGAAATGAACACTACCTCTACAATCTGTCCCAAGTCGTCCACATACATTCTTTCTGTTTCCACCAGCTCACTCAGGACAAACCTAGAGAACACAAGGATCCCTTCACTTCAGAGTGTGGCTACATCATTAGTTTAGCCAGTTCTCCCTGCACTAAAAGACCATCCCCACAGCCACCTCAGAGAGCAGTAAAATGTGAGGACTCTTGGGGAAGTTCAGCAACCCAAGTGCCCTGTGAACTTACATACTCCTTTCCAGGGCGGTCTTCCTCTGCTCTTCCTCATTCTTGGGAGCTTGAGACAAAGTTTCCTCTACAGCTGGCTGGAAGGTAAGAGATGAGCAAACAGAGGAATGCCTTTCAGTGAGATCTATTTGTTTGACTTTTTCAGACTTGTTTGTGTTGAGACAGGGTCTCTCTATGTAGTTCTGGCTGTCCTGGAACTCGCTGACCTTGAGCCTATAGAGACATCCACCTGCCTCTGCCTCCAGAGTGTTGAGATTGAAGACGGTATGATTATTATTATTAATTTTCATTTTTACATTATGGCGGCCATGTGTACAGGTACCCACAGAGACCAGAAGAGGGTGCTGGGTGCTTTACAGCTGAAGATACAGGTAGTTGTGAGTCATGTGACGTGGGTGCTAGGAACTGAAGCTGGGTCCTCTGAAAGAGTACCAAGTGTGCTTAGCCAGTGAGCCAGGCCTCTAGTCCCAGTGTGACTGATTTTGAGACATGATCTCACATAGCATAAGAGAGCATGGGACTTGATCTGTAGCTGAGGTTGGCCCAAACTGGTGTATGTCACATGCCCAGTTCTATTCCTTCACCTGTGTCTTGTCTCCGGAACCCTCCAGCAATGTGGTCAGTAAGGTCAATTCTGGCAGCTCCTGTCCTGTGGTTAAAGTTGGCTCCAGCATCCAGTTCTGGAAAGAGGGAGATCAAGGCCAGACAGAGATCCAGTGACTGAGGTCATGAACAGTAGATGGGTTCCCCAGTGACCAGTGACCCCCAACTTGCCGTCTTTCCCAGCATCTTCTGTGGCACTCCCTGCTCACCTCACATTGTCCGGTCTGACCACTCTCTGCCTCAGTTTCCACACTGAGACAATGTTTAGAATGATCCAACCATCTCCTCAGGCCAGTTACTGGTCCAGGGGGGATCGGAGAACACGGATGAGAGCTGAGGCCAGAGCTGGGACCAGACATGGCCGCCAGCCCGGAGACAGCAGATGCTGACATGCTCCCCTCACTGCCAGCAATAGAGTAGGATTCTGACGGGAAGAAAAACGACAGGAGTGGATGGACTCTGGCCTAGCTCTGGGGTCCTAGGGAACCCCCATGGTGTCTTCTCCATGATGTTCAGACCCTGTCTCCCAGGGTCCCCTCATTTGCCATCCTCATTTGAGTTGGCCAGGATAGAAATCTTTGCAAGGGCACCCTGGGGAGGAAGGACGGTAAACACCTGGTTCCTAGGCCTGTGCTCCTTCGGCTCCATGTGGAGATTTCCCATACCCTGAGCATAGCACAGATATGGGGGTGGGGGCAGCCATCTGGGCAAACACTGGAAACTGGGGGTAGCCATCTGCTTCCCTGTAACACTCCCCCTTCTGATAGGTACAGACCATTCTCCCTGAGAGGGGTGAGAACAAAAGACTGTAGCTGTCTGCCACCCCCAGGCCCCTCCCCTCCTACTCCAGAAATTACTATATATATTGTTTTTGGACAGCCCACCTCTTCAGCACATGCACATATCCAACCCAGCAGTGAGGACAGCTCAGCGGGGTTATCTTTGGCCAGCAATTGGGAAGAGCTGCAATTTGAGTTCTTATAAAACCCCTTACAGGTAGATACCCCCTCGCCCCACTCCCAGTCCTTTGCTCCCTTTTCAGGAGACTTTCAGCCCAGTGATCTGAGGGAAGATACAAGGTTCTGGGCCTAAGACTATCACAAGAGAATTTTCCCTCCTGGCTAGCTCCTTATAGGAAAGAAACGGGTCCTCTGACCCTTCCTCAGCGTCCTCAACTTGAATCAGCACAAATCTAGAAGTGGAAGGGACCTTAGAAATTCTCTGTTAAATCACTTTTCTGGAAAACACACGTACAGGCTCCAGCTCTAAAGCCCTAGGGCCAGAGTAAGCAGATGCCCTGAACCCCAGCTAAAGATGCCCCCCAACTCAATGCTGGCCCCGACAGACCTCGCACTCACCACGTCCCCCTCGGGAGAAGCAGCAGCCGCATTTTGCCAGGACTTTTCGAATCACACGGGGACAGGCACAGCGACCCCCTTTGTGACCCCCCCGCATGGCGCCCGGGGCCCCCCGCACCCCCCACCCGGGCCGGCCATGCAGGGGGAATCACGGGGGGCGGGGCGGGGAGGGCGCAGGGCGCACACCCCCCTCCCTCCCTCCGGGGTCCAGGCTTGGGGAAGGGGGGGAGAAAAGCGATGGGAGGCGGGGGTCCAGGAGTAGACGGAAGTCGAGGAAGGGGAGTCTGGAGGGAGGGCCGTGCGGGGCTGGGCCACGGAGTTGGGCGGGGAGGGTTTCCGGAACCCCGGCGGTGCGGGGCCCAGGGTCCAGATGTCCAGCCAAAGGAAGGGATGATGGGGGAGGCCCGGCCGGGATGCGACAGCCGCTCCAGCTCCGTCTCCGGCCTCGGCTTAGGGGTGGCTCTAGGCCCGGGCAGGGAGGAGCGGGGGTGACTCCCGGAGCCACTGGAGCCGCGCGGGTCCCGGCCGAGCGGCGAGCGGAATAACAGGCCAGGCCGCGGTGCTGCCGTGGGGCGGGGCCTCTGCGGCTCGGCTCCGCCCCTCCGCGCTCCCCCAACCCCCTCCCCCAAGCACCTTCACGCTCGCAGTCCGCGTCCCTAGACCTCCGCCCCTCCTCCCAGGCCTGGGCTCCCTCTAGCATCCCAGCTGCAACTGCGGGGCGCAGGGCTGGACGCGCGAGAAGCCTGGAGGTGGGGTCTGCCTCGCTCGCCCATTGGCCTCTGAGATGAAGGATTCGTGGGACAGGGCCTTGGTTAGTGTGAAAGGTTCTGAGGTTCTGGCTGTCTCTCCCCCACGCCCCAAGCAGGACATGCGTGATTGGGGAACACTTTGTAGGGAACACAGCCCAGGTGCCGCCCTCTCCCCCGACCCTTCTTTCAGCCAGGCCCCACCACTCCAGCTAAAACTAATCACCAATTAAGGCGAAGTCCGGGCGCCTGGCCTGGCCCAGGGCCAGGGGTGGGGCGCGGGGACACACCACTCTGCCTTCGGGGTCTTGGGACCCGCCGAAGTGGGGACACATATCGGTCTAGAAGTGTGGTGGCTGCGATTTAATGGTCCCATACAAAGTAAGTGCAAGCCTCTATACTAATATGAACAGAATCTATCTGAAGTCACCACTTTGCGCAGGATGGCAAATTGTGCCCCACCCAAGCCCAGCTTCTTACCGGGCTGCGGAGCCCAGGCGAGGACCTCACGTTCGCGCTCCCCTGTTTGCTCCTCCTCGGTAGAATCACTCTCTGTCTTGGTACTCCCAGGCTCTAAGGGATCTCTCTCCGGGGGCTGCCGAGACAGAGTCACTGTAAGGACCCTTTCCTAAGCTGCCTCGACCTCCCCGTTCCTCTCTCCCTCCTGTCAAAATGCACATTATCCTGAAAGGGTCAACAAGAACTTGGCCTATGGCCCTCATAACTGAATTTTTGGATCCTTGCGACTGATCCGTATAACTTTTGTTTGCGGGAAAACTGAGTCGAGGAGTGCAATTCTCCTAAAGTCCTCTAAAGACCCCCGACCCCACCCGCGGTCCCCCCCTTCTTACCCCCTCCTGCCCCGGTACGGCGCATGCGCGCAGCATGCCCCCCATGACCCCTAGTATCCGGTCAGTGCGGCCAGGGGTGGGGCGGTCCGGGGGCTTCATGCTGGACCCCTACCCTGCTTCAAGTTTCAGGGCCGAGGGGCCACGGAAGCTGGGGGGCTCCGAGGCCTGCGTGCGTCCGGGGAGTTGCTACTGCCGAATCCGCCCCCCTGCCCGGCTCCGCCCCGGCTCCCACCGCAGCCAAACTTCTCAAAAGGGGTAGGGTTGTTCCTTTCTCCACAAACGTAGCTGAACGACAAACCAACCCCTCTTAATCCCGGTCCCATCAATCCAAGTGTGGCCTAGGGCTTTGCAGGACTATTACAGCGCCCAGCATTAGTTCTGCCGGAGGAGCGGCTCCTGGGAGAAAGGGCCCATCGAGGCATCCAAGGATTCCCCATTGCCCCATCTCCTCAGCGGTCCCGCTCCACACCCCACCCCCACCCTGTCCAAGGAACAGAAAACGGGTGTGGCATAGAGTTGCATATTTCACTTTATTTTTATTAAATTAAAAGCTACAGTCTGGCAGCAATTCCAGATTTGGGAGAGGGGGAGGTGAGGAGGCTCCTTACAGGGGCAGAGAAGAGCGAGAGAAAGACAGACTGACAGAGACAGACACAGGAGAGAAAGGATCCGTTAAGGTAGGACTACTGTTATCTTAATACACAGCTGGCTGGGGGAGGCAGCTAATATCAGTCCAAGGTGAGACAGTACTCAGGGACTGGAGTTCGAGAGAGCCCGTCCTTCCTACCCAGGTCCTTTCTCAGCTTAGTCCCTGGAGCGCGGTACATACCAGGAAAAAGCCAAGGACGCTGGAGAAGCAGGGGCAGAGAGAATATGTACACGGAGTGCAGGGAGAGGAGCCTTGGAAACCAGCCTCTGCCAGAGGGGAGTGGCTCAAAGGGCACTGAAGCACTTGGCCAGTGGAGGGCAGGGGAAGGGACAGTCCCCCTTAACCTCTGAGTTTCCACCCCAGTCAGACATATCCCCTCATGGGTGGTGTGGGGGCCAGAGAGAGAGGAGCAGAGGCTTCCGTTGGATCCTAGTAGAGGACAGCAGGGGGTCCTTGGCAAAAGAGCTGTCCTTCAGTCGTCTGTGATCCCCTTGGCTCTCAGCTCCTCTTGCACCCTAGTCAGGTAGGTTGGGTCAGGATACCCAAACCTGGGGCAAAGAGAAATGAGGGTCAGAGTTAGTTGTTTGGACTTGATCGTCCTCACCCACCCTCATTTTGAGTGACTCAGTTGGGGCCAAATTCAGACTCCCCTCCCACTTCCCCATGAGGAGGGACCACCAAAAACAAGATAACCCAGCTAGAGTATGTTTTTTTTTTGTGGGGGGGGGGGAGGAAGGTGGAGGAGAGGTGATAAGCTGAATGCATCAGGACCAGGATGAAAACAGACTGAGAGGGTGGATGGCTCCCCCAAATTAGAAATGGTGAAAGGGAGAAGCCACGGAGAAGGAGATGAGGAGGAGTCGCACAGCTGGGGTCCCCCTGTGCAGCTGGTCTTGTGGTGGATGTCGTTCCAAGTGATGACGTTAGGTCTCCCCGTAGTCATGGACGTGCCGATCGTGAAGGTGAGACGCTGGTCAAATGCCTTTCGGAACAGGGTCAGCACCTTGTTGCCCTCGGGGCAGTCCGGGAGGTAGGCCACCCGTGTGGTACCAGGGTACCGAACTCCTGGGTTGGGGTGTTCAGCCTGAAAGGAAGAGGCAGAGAGCAGCTGGCTGTCTCAAGGGCCTGGATACCAGTGAGGGGTCCGTCAGTCATTCCCAGCAGACTGACAGACAGACAGCCAGACAGCCCTTCAGGGAGAGGATGGTTTGGGGGCCTGGGTAGTAAGAGGCTGTTTCTGGACACAGTCCTTATTGTTAATCCGCTACGTCTCAATTCAGGGACACTCTCAGAAGTGATGGAAGTTACTTTCCAGATAAATCAGCAAAACTGCTACAACTAAGAAAGATGTATCTTTTTTCATTCCCTACTCTTCCTAAAATACTACTGGGCCTCTTGTCTCCTTTTTTTTTTTTTTTTTTTTTTTTCCTCCTCAGAGTGTCTCTGTTCCAGTGAGCCGGCTGGACATGACTCTTTGTCCAGCAGGAAAGACATCTGCCTTCAGCTTCCGCTGTCTCTTAGTAGTCTACAACAGAGCAGCACTCCCAATGGTTAGAGCAGCACTCCCAATGGTTAGAGCAGCACTCCCAATGGTTAGAGCAGCACTTCCAATGGTTAGAGCAGCACCTCCAATGGTTAGAGCAGCACTCTCAATGGTTAGAAGGGCCAGGTCCCTTCCTGCTTTGTCTTCCTTCACTTGGGTCACTGACACCAGGCTTTGCCTCCACAAAGAGTCTGTCACATACACTTGAGTCAGGGTACTCGTTCACGGTCACTCCTTTCTCTCATAACGGGTTTTAAGGTATTTCCCTTGTTTCATTTGGCTTTCTGGGGGGGTGAGGACTGAACTCAGGGATGCCAGAAAGATTATCACTGACCTACAGTCCAGCCCTTACACCTGAGGTTTTTATTTTTTTATTTTTTTATTTTTTTATTTTTTGTTTTTTGGTTCTTCGAGACAGGGTTTCTCTGTATAGCCCTGGCTGTCCCGGAACTCACTCTGTAGACCAGGCTGGCAACTCATAAATCCACTACACCTGAGTTTTACATCTGCCTTTGGGTCATGGAGATAAAACAGTGGGACCTCAAGGAGACGACCCCTCCCCCACAGCTCCAGAACACCAAGTCATAAGGCTGGGAGGCAGCAAGAGTGCACCATGTCTAACAACATACTCTCTACATAGCCTTTTTTTTCCCCCCTTACATCAGAGAGAGTGAACTTGGAGGAAGCCAACGGGTAAGGACTGTGATCTCTTACCCCCTGGACGCCAGGCGGGAAGACATATTGGATGACAATGGTGCCGTACTTCTCGTAGCTGGGCAGCAGGAGGGTGGCGTCCTTGGAGACCAGCATCCGCCCGTTCTGGGGCTGGTTGCCCACCAGCTGCCCGTAGAATCGGCCGCACATGGGGCAGGCCTTTTTCACCTGCAGGGCCCGAGTGATGCAGCCCTCACAGAAGGAGTGCCTGCACTTCTCCAGCGTCTTGGCGTTCTGTATCTCCCCCAGGCAAATGGGGCAGGTGCTTTCCTGCTCTTCGGCGGCGTCCTCTCTGAGGCGAGGAGGGAGTGGAGGGGGCAGGGGAGGAGGAGGAGGGGGGAGCCCTCTTGCCCCAGGGGGCAGGAGTGGGGCTGCTCGGAGAGGAGGAGGGCCTGGGCGGTGCAGCTCAGGGTGCTCCCCGCCACCCCCCAAAGCCAAGCAACCCATGAGCTCCCCCTGCCTCTGAGCTTTCTTCAGCTCTTTCTCTGCCTCTTTCAGGAGCCCCTTGAGAGCCTTCCTGGCCAGGTAGAGCCCATTGGGAGGGGCTGGGGGAGGACCCTGTGGGGACAGCTGGAGCACATAGATGTCAGAAGTCTCGCCATCTATGAGGATGGACACTCGGTGCTCCTCCCGAAGCCGGGCCAGCCGGGCTGGGGTCTCCTTGCTCAGGAAGTCCCACACAGGCTTGGAGACAGTCACTTTGTTCTTGCAGGAGCCTCCACAGGCTGCCATTCTGGACAGGACGAACGACACTGCCCCCAGGGTGAAAGGGACTCAGAGTGGGGAGTCCCCATTTGACAGACAAAAGTGCCCCCTACTTCAGGCTCCTTCCAAACCCCGAATTACCTCTGTTTTCCTCAAAGCCAACCCCCAACACTGGCTGCAAACTGGTTTTCTATCTCTCGATTCTGTCCCATAGTCCCAGCACCTTCTGGGAACAAGTTTCCACATTTCATCCTTATCTAAGTCAAGCACCAGCCTTGCTTGCTTCTTTCATTCCCCCCACCCCCACCCCCAGCACAACTACCTGCCCTTTCCCCTCAGGGTGGAAAAAAAAAAGTTCCTCCAAAGGAAAGGAGACTCCTCACCCCCACCCCATCCCACCCCCCATTTGCTTACTTTGATCCGGAAGAGCTTAGAATTGGCATGCAGGCTCACTCTCTTTCCCCCCTGATACTTGGAGACGACGTGGCCTGGTGGGATGAGAAAGGAAACAAAGTAAGAAACCTATTCCCCAACCTCCACAGGCTCCAACTCAGGAGCCCTTGAAACAGCCAGGAACCTGGGTTGGGGGTACTGGGCAATGGGGATTTCTTGGAACACGGGAGGAACCTGAGCACAGGTACCTGAAAAGACCACAGAGATGAAGGTAGCAGAAGTCCCTCCACCTCCACCTTCAGCTGGCCAGAGCTGGGGACGAGGAAGGTAAGGAGTTATGATAGCATTTCCTCAGCCCAGAAAGAAACCGCTCTTCTATTTCCTCTTCTCCCCTGCAGAAGCCTCTCCAAGGTGCTCAAGGAACTTCATCAGTTTAACTCCTCTTTTTCCCCCAGTGCAGAGGGAGAACCTAGGTGCAGATAAAGAAAGGAAGGAGAAAAAAAAAGGGCCTTACAGGATGAAGGTCGTACATGCCACCTCCCTCAGATTACACTGACAGAAATATCTCCTATGCTCCTCGCCTCATTTCTTTACGTTCTCGAATAGTTCAAGTCCCTGTTGTTGACAGGGACCTTTCCTTGAGAGCCGGAAGTCTATCAGGGATGCCAGCAAAGTGTTAGCAGTCCCACAATAACAAAGTTCTCATTGTCACCTTTAAACCCCGTGCCCGCAGAGCTGTTGTCAGCTGCAAATCAAGCAGGAGCTCAGCTAGAGGGACCCGAGGTTTTCCCCTGAGCCCTGTCACAGTCAGCTCCAGGGCCTTTTCCCACAACACAAAGTGCAGCTCAATTAGGAAGAGGGGCCATTAACGTGACCTCAATTCCTTGTGATCCAAAAAGAAGCCGCTGTCCGTTTGTGCCTCCATCCTAGGATGCTTGAGATGAAAACCTAGAGTCGCAACCCTCATGGTCTGTCTGCGCACGGTGACATGCCCCCTCCCCACCAGAGAGAACCCAGGATATAGGTGTCCTAGCTCCAAGTCCTCCTGGCACTGCACAGGGAGGCGGGGCCACAGTTTAGTCTGGGTCTAGCATTCCTCTGGGGCAAACCAAGCCGGACACCAGACCAGCCTCTTCTTCCAGACAGCGGCCGCTAGCAGGGACGGCGAGAAAGGGCAGGGGTCCCCTGGGGGGTGTCCACTGAGGCACCCCCACCCTTCCCCCCGGACTGCCCCCGGATCCATCCAACCCGAAATCAACTCCCGCATCCCTACTGGAGGAAGCCCCGGAGTCCCGCCGCCGGGTGAGGGTGTGTGTCCACCCGACTGCGGCCCTTAGAACCCCCAAATGGAGGCCAGGGCTGGAGGTGCGGGAAAGATGATGGGCCCGGCCCCGAGGGCGCCCCCTTCTCCTGCCGCGCGCGCGTGGGGGGCCAATGGCGGAGGAGGGGGCGGAGGGAAGCGGGGGGCTTGTGAGGGTGCGGACCCGGCCTGGGGGGCACGCGGTGGGTGTGGGGGCGCCGGGCTCACCTACCTCTCGTCAGCGCCGCCATTGCCGGTCACATGACTGAGGCTGTTGCTGGGATGACGGTCCGGGCCTTAGCAACAAGGGGCGGGGGGGGGGGGGGAGACCCCGAGAAGGTGGAAGGGAATGCCGGGGTGCAGACTGAGAGAAAGGAGGGGGGAGCACCCCTCCCCTTGGCGGTGATCATCAACGTTTCCTTTGACCCCCTCCTACCCAGGAGCCCCTGCCTCTGCCCCAAAACAAAAATGGAGGCGCAGTTCCAGTCTTTGGAGGGAGGGGTGGCGTCATGTAGCCGAGGGTAGGAGGTTAAATCCCTCAGAAACACCACTCTCTTGGCTTCCCCCTCCTGGAGGAGCCCTCTCCCCACTTCTTTCCCAGCCAACTGCGTGGCACCTTTAGGAACTGCCAGGGATGGGAGCAGTTGGGTATATGGATTTGGAGGGGAGGGCAATTTTTTTTAAATCTTACGCTGGAAAATGTTGGATGGGAAGTTTTAGTAGAAAGGAAAAACATCGGTACTACAAAATAAACCCTGTGACCAAACTACTTCAATCCCCTCCCTCAACTCTTGCCTCCTTCCAGACTGTTACCTCCAGTGACCCCCACCCCTACCCCCACCCCGCGCAGCCTGTTGCCAGATGGGAGCTGGTGACTAGTTTTCCACAAATAGGGACACAGGTCGGTGCAGAATGTGAGGTGGATAGATCCTTTAAAAATGGCTTGGGGTGGTGTTAGTGTCAAGTACGTGGTTCAAGTAGAGTTAAAAATTCCCAAAGAAAAAAAAAAAAGCTCTGCTCTGCTCTGCTTCCCTCCAGGGCTGTCTCCGCCTCCTCCAACTCACTTCCCTAGGGCCACAGAAAGCCAGGTTTTTCCACCAGCCGAAAGACCTCCTCAGCCTGGACTACTGAATCTCCCAGACTAGCAAGAACCACGTCATCCACCCCTCTCCATCCCTTCCCCCAGAACTGGAGGACTGGTCACCCCTTCACTTTCCCAGGACCCTGCTGTACTCTTCCTGTCCTCTAAGCAGACAGCTTTCCCAGGAAGCCTGGGTGAGCAGAGAATTCCTTCCCACATAGCTGGTACCCCGAGAGGCTCACTAAAGTTAACAGATGGAGGAACCAGAGCATCGTCCCACTCCCCCCTGGCCGCCATTACTGCTCAGTTCCCACAAGGTTGGCGAATGGTTTCCGCTCCCATGTCCACCCCACACCTCTAAGTCCACAGTCATCTTAGAATATGCTCCTGCCCCGACACACACATGCTCAGGAGCCAATATCCTTCCCTTGGTCTCTGCATCTTTTAAACGCAGGATGGATTCCTTAGAGTTTTCAAAAAGAAAAAAAAAACTTCTGTGAATGATTCAGATCAAATAATTTATTTTATTGTGATATTGGGAGTGAATACAGATATTAACAAAACAAAGATAATGGAAAACAGAAGCAATAAATGAAGATGGCGATACTGCCCATGACCACAACCTCATGGTCAGAAACCCAGTTGAAAAGAACAGCTGCTGGTGTCACTTTATTGCATTCAACAGGGAAAGGTTGGTTGTGGGATGGGAGGCCCACCAGGCCCCTCCCACCCCAAATGGGCACAACTCTTGCTGTCTCCTTTGGTGGAGGAAGAAGGGTGGGCTTCTCCCTGAGGGTCTCATGGTCACACAGCAAAGCAGCTTCTTGCCCTCAGTGGCTACCCCACCTCCAGAGCTTGGAACTCCGCAGGGGAGCAGAACAGCAAGGGTGGGTGTCTTGCTTCCAAAGGCTTTGGGCAGAGTCAAAGACAATCTATCTCATCTTAGAATCGTTTTCCCCAAGATAGTCTCACGTTTCCTTGGCTGGCTTCAGCCTAGTCAAGTGACTGAGGATGATCTTGAATGCCCGCCCCTTCTTACCGATATTTCCCAAGGCTAGGAGTCCAGATGCGCACGGCTGCACCAGGCTTATGTGGTGCTGGGAGTGGATCCCAGAGCTTCGAGCGAGCTGGGCGAGCACACTACCAACTCAGCTAAAATTTCCAGTGCTCAAACCCAAACCTGTTTTGAGTTTTCCTGAGACCAGGTCTCACTCAGTATCCCGGGCTGGCCTTGAACTCTCTTGAGTAATTCTGACAACCTCCTGAGTGCTGGATTTACAGGCACGAGCTACTATGCCTAGCAGCCTAGCAGCAACTCTACATTCTGAGGATATCGTGCATTAATATTCAGCTATCTTTGGAGGGGTCTGGGTGATTGAGTTATGGCTCTGACTCCTCTCTGGGGGTGGAGAGTGGAGATGACAAAGATGGCCATCTGTCCCCTGGGAGACACATTAGCAGTGGAAGATGGGACAGAAGGGGACAGAATAACAACTCCAACCCGAAAAGGGTTTGAGAAGGAGGGAGAAAGTGCTAGGTATTCACGTCCTGGGGATGGGAGGTTCCCGCACTCGAGATCTCTATCCTCTCAGAGTTATGGAAGCAGACCAGATGGAGCTACTCCCTCTGCTAGAGAGCCGGGAGTAACTGGACAGGAAGAAAGGATGTCACACAGGGAATGAACCCTGCACTGCGACCTGTCCTCCCGGCCTCTACTGCTCTCCCTGCTCACCAGCAAGGCACAGGGTCATGGGGAAGTGCGGCACCAGTCTCACACCTGCACCTAAGCTTGGGCACCGCTGGCCTCTGGGCTCCTGCACCCAGAAGTGCTCATGGGAAGAGGAGAAGGTGGGGTGGGGTGGGAAAATGGGACCAGTCAATGTGCGACAGGGACCTTCTCCATCCTCTGCATAGTCACAAAAGTCCGCTTAGGTCCTGCCTTGTGAGGTGCCAGCCTGCTGACCGCTCCCCACCTGACCTCCAGGCCAGACTGTCCACATGTGAATGCCTGCACCCACATCTGCAGCACCCTGAAAGCCCTCCATTCCAGGGCTTACCAGGAAGGAAGCATGCCACAGAGTGCCCCATCAAGGTGTCAGCAAAATCCAGACATTCAGTTTCTTCCACACAGCAAAGCGCATCCAGGGCAGTTGCTTGAGCCATGTCCACTGTCCAGTCAGGTCCCGAAGATGGCAAACAACCCCTAACCCCAGCTCCTCCTATTTCATAGAAACAAGATATTTTTCAAAGATCAAGGCACTTAGGAGAGTCGACAGTAACACTCTAATGAAGCAGGAGGATTTACTGGGAGGAAGGAGGGAGGGCAGAGAACTGGACGAGGGGAGAAAGGACAGTGTGTTTCTGGGGCAGGAAAGCCCTATCCACCAGAACCAAGTCATTTGGATGGAAGGAGCCTGCAGCCTGAATTTAGCAAAGACGAAAGTAATGGCCAAATCCAGCTCCCTAAGCCTCTCAAACCCGCCACCTCCAACATAAAGTAGCAATCACCCTGGAGGCAGGCAGCCTCTTAGGCAAAGATGTTGGCAATAAAATCCAGGAACCGCTTAGCGTACTGCTCAGGATGGACAGTGGAGATCTCTGCCCCCGCCTGTGGGAAGAGAGGAAACATGGACCAGTGTCACAGGAGCAGTACCACCTCCCTCACCCCACCACCCCCTTCCTCAGCAGCCACCCCACTGCTCTGACCCCAGAAGCTCTCTCTCCAGAGAAACAGTCAAGCCAAGAAAGGAAAGGCTGTGAGGAACTCTCACCCCATGCTTGACGGTTTTGGCTGCATGAGCTGCTTTCTTCTTGGCATCGTACTGTGTCAGAATGTCAATGAGGCCCATGAAATACACCTCCTTCTGGGGGGCCCCTGGGGAGAGAGGCTAGCAATGAGGACAGGGTACAGCAGCCCCAGCTCCGTTTCCCCAGGAGACGACCCTGATCTCTGTCTCCGGAGGATCCCCACCGCCCCACCCCGCCCCCCTAACATTCCCAGGTTCTCTCTCACCCTCTGCACTCCGGATAGCATAGACATCAATGAAGGACTCAAATTCTCCTGGGCCCAGGGGCCGGTGGGAATGAATGTAGCCTCCAATGCCCTCAGGGGAGGTGCCATAGGAGCCCACCAGAGCAGGCGGTCCAGTCAGGTTACAGTCTCCATCCCACTCTGCCTCCTCCTCCCTGACGGCCCCTCTTCCTCCGGCTCAGAGCCCCGGATGATGTCGTGGATGCCCAGCAGGAGGCTGTAGTCCATGATCTTCAGCTGCACTAGGAACTGAGGCCCACAGACAAGTCAGAGGTCCAGGTCTCCCCAGCCCAGGGACCACCCACGCATCTCCGGGTGGCCCACTGCACCAGTGCCCAAGTCCTAGAACCAAAAGCACCCAGCCCACCTACCGAGGGGCCTAGGGGTTTCTCCTGGTTCATTCCCAACCTTCCATTCAGAACCCCCATCCAAGAGAATAAAGGCGGATCCACCTCATCCCACGGATGGAAGGCGACGTCTGGGACTGGAGGAGCGCCCTGCTCACCTCCACATCTCTCTTCAGCTTCTCCAGGAACACTTTCTTCTCCTCCTCGCCAATGTACACTTTCTGGTTCTTGTTGAGAAAGTCCATGTCCTTCAGTGTTGGCAGCTCTTTAACCTAGCACGGGAATACGGGAGTCCTGGGACTGGATCTCCTATCAGATCCCTGCCTCCATCCAGGGCTCTCTCCACCCCAGAGGCTTTGAAGAGAGCAGCAGCCCTGCAGTTGCCTTATGCCTGGACCCACACAGTCAGCTGTACCTCAGACTACACCCACCGCTGTCTGCTTACAGACGGATGGCAGTCAATGCCCTCCATATTGACTTTCCTTCCTTCCTCTTCAGTCAAAATAGCTGCTGGAACACAAGCGCCCAGGATGAGGTGTGGGAATGAGCACGTGGCTCTGTGAGCCTGGTATTCCTGCCTATCCCCAAACCTTCAGCACAGTCCAGCCGGCCACACAGACGAGCCTGCGCCGATGGCAGCTGTCCCTGCTGCCCTAACATCGGTAGTTTACCATCTAGTTCCTTTTCAGTAGTCTAAGGTAGAATAAGTGTCTGGCAACCTGTGCCCAGTATGGAGAGCCGCCTCTTTATCCTACGGAGACCCCGTTCACCCATCCTTATCCCTGCAGTTATCACCTCAAAGGAACAGTACCTTCTCCTTATCGCTGGCTTCCCGGGACACGAGAGAGCCCTGTGGAGAGAGAGGACACTAAGTGAGAAGCAGTGGCTAGCGGGGCAGCCGACAGGCCCTCAGGGACCGCTCCTTTAGGTTACCCAGTGCCCTGCCAAGCCTACCACCATGAGAATGAGTCCATGAGCAGACTTTCGTTAGCCCAGGTTACCCCGTTCTTACCTTGAGGTCGTACTTCCTGTGCACGGGAAGGCGATGACTGAACATATTACGCATCACGAGCATGTAACTGTCCTCATTCTCCACACTGACGCGGTACATGCCCAGGAACTGCGGCAGGAGCGTGTTACCATGACACTTCACTATGTACTAGGGAAGAGAACAAGAGCAAGGGGTGAAGAAAGGCGAGCTGAGAGACAACTCGGCACAGGGGCAGGGATCCGGGTGCTTCCACCCCAGCCAGGCAAAACCCTCAGAGGTGGCAAAGTCAAGAAACCCCCTGACTTCTGCCTGCAACTATCTCTTAACTTTAAACCACCTTTTCATTTCTTCTGTTTGCTGTCTGAAACTGAGTCTCACATAGCTGGGGTTGGTCTTGAACTCCTGACCCTCCTAGCTCTCCTTTCAAAGTGTCATGATTACAGGAATGAGCCACTTTACCCAGCTACCTTTATAATTTTTCAAGAAGGAGGTAGGTACTGTTACTCTTATTTTAGTCTCTGTGCAAGCAAGTCACAGAACCAGGGCTAAACTTAGATTTACTTCTTGGTGGGCTAGGTTTCTGTACTATAGATGTCTACAGGGAGATCTGCATCAATTTGGATTATTTTTTCTTCAAAAGGTTTACTTGTTTATATATATGAGCACTCTATTTCCATGTGTGCCTGCGTGACAGAAGAGGGCATCAGATCCCATTACAGATGGTCGTGAGTCACCATGTGGTTGCTGAGAACTGAACTCAGGACCTCTGGAGGACCAGACAGTGCTCTTAACCACTGAGCCATATGTCCAGCCTTTGTTTTGTTTTGCTTTTTGTTTTTAGATAGGTTTCCTAGTATACCCCTGGCTGTCCTGGAACTCATTCTGTAGACTGGTTGGCCTTAAACTCACAGAGATCCCCTGCCTCTACCTCCCAGGTTCTGGGACTAAAGGCATGTACCACCACTTCCAGGCTATTTAAATTTCTCAGTGGTTTTGTTTTATCTTGATTTTGGTTTGGTTTTTTGAGAGAGTTTTTCTATGTAGCCCTGTCTATCCTGGAAAATGATCTAAAGATCAGACTGGTCTTGAACTCACATATGCTAGGATTAAAGGTGTGTACCACCACACCCAGCAAAGACTTTTTAAAAATCTTTATGTGTCTGTGTAAATGCCCCAGGAGAGGATCCCTCGGAACTAGAGCTCCAGGCAGGGGTGAGCCACCTGACATCACCAAAGTTGGGAGCGCTGAAAGCAGGTTCTGCTCACCTCTGAGCTGACGCTCTAGCCCATGTCTGCTCTGTTCCCTGAGTCGGAGTCAGATGTTGCCAGGCTGTCTTCTAATAAAGCTAACTTTAAACACTTGGAGTGGAGAGATGGCTCTTCCAGAGGACCCAGGTTCAATTCCCAGCACCCACATGGTGGCTCACAACCATATTTGACTCCAATTGCAGGAAACAGAAAGGTCTTTTCTGACCTTTTCAGACACCAGGCATGCATATGACACACATGTGCCTGGCATACAGGCAGGCAAAATACCCATACACATAAAATATAACAATAGAATATTAATAATTGTTAACTACTAAAAATAAATCAAATAAACACTTGGTCTTCCTCATTCCATCCCTAAGTGCTAGTATCACAGGTACCTAGCTTGCAATTTGAATTTATTTCTCTTTTTGACACAGGGTCTTAGGTAGCCTAGGCTGGTCTCAAACTCACTCTGTAGCCACGATAAACTTGAACTTTTCAAACTCCTGCTCCCCCTCCGGGTTGCTGGGATTCAAGGCTTGTGGCAGCATGCCTGATCTCTTTGGTGCTGGTTTTCATGCATAGTAGGCAAGCACTCTACCAGGAAAACTCCATTCCCAGCCCACAGTGTGAACTCCTCACCTGGGTATGGTGATACATGTCTGTAATTCCAGAACTCGGGGTGGGGGCAGTTGAGGAGAGAGAGATATGAATTCAAGGCCATCCTGTCCTGGGCCTGATCCCCTTCAGATAAAACACTGCTCTTGGGCTGGGGATAGCGCACAGCTGGCAGAAAGCCCTTGTGTGGCTTGCATTGTACAATCCCAGCACTCAGGAGGCAGAGGTCATAGGACCTGAAGTCCAAGGTCATCCTCAGCTATACAGCAAGTTCAAAGGTACCCTGGGCTACATGAGACTCAGTCACAAACAAAAACAAAACTGCTCTCTCTGTCCAATTTCTTAAAAGATAACCTTACAAAAGTCATCAGCAGAGACCTGGCGAGAAGGCTCAGTGGTTAAGAGTACTGGCTGCTCTTCCAGAGGACCCAGGTTCCATCTGACCGAGTCTTCTGGCCTCCAAGGGCACCTGGCCTCATGTGGCACACGTCTGTGTGCAGGTACCCCCCCACACACATAGACTGTAGTCGCTGGGTTACTCCATCTGTGCACTTGGTCCTGCTGACCAACCTCTCCTTCAGCCCACTGTGCTCTCCTCTGTCCTCCGTCCTGCACGGGATGCACTAGGGCATCAGCAGTCCAGACGCCCATCCATGTGAGTCTCCTTCATGGACACTTTACGTGCTTCTTAAAGTTTGTATTTTTTAAGAAAGATTTTGTTTCTTTGTATTTGTGTGTCTCTCTCCATAGTTTTCTCTTCAAAACCATAGTGATTTTAAGTGCGGATCAGTGGTTTTGGTGAGCACTTACTGATGCAGGACTCCTAACCTATTCTTCTTTCCTGGATTCTCCAGTCGTCTCAGACATAGGAAACAGAAGCAGGATGAACTGGAGCGGCCATGTCCAGATCTGCCCCGTCCCCCTCCAGAGCCGCTTCCTTGTTGCTTCCCAATCACATGTCTCCTCACAGGCCCTGCAGCCTGCCGCTTGGCCCTTCCATTCTCTCCGCCTTCTCACCTAGACTGCTACAATTAACACCTCGCTCTACACACTGTCAGAGGGGTGGTCCCACAATTCCTGCCTGCTTTCTTTGTTTCTTCCTTCCTTTCTCTGTCTTTTGTTTACGGTACCGAGAACAGAACTTAGGGCCTCACACATGCTCAGTGTCAGTTGTAGTTGTCAGTGTCCAGCCCTTCATTTCTTTCTTTTTTTTTTTTTTTTTTTTGGTTTTTCAAGACAGGGTTTCTCTGTGTAGCCCTGGCTGTCCTGGAACTCACTCTGTAGACCAGGCTAGCCTCAAACTCAGAAATCCGCCTTCCTCTGCCTCCCGAGTGCTGGGATTAAAGGTGTTCGCCACCACTGCCTGGCGCCAGCCCTTCATTTCTAAACAGTATCTTCAGTTCCTTAAAAACTACCTCCAGGATGAGGCCCAGGTTTCTATTTGACTTACAGGCCCTTTCATTACCTGGTTCTAGGTTAACTTCCCTAATACCATGCCTCCCAGATACACTAGGATTCCTGCTATTTCCTACTACCAAACACCTTCACAGTACTGTGCTTTAACAAACACCACATCCCTCTGCCTAGAATTCTCTCTCTGCCACCCTGTCCACCCTGCGCAGTGATTAACCTCTACTTGTAACCACTCAGAATCCAGTTCTGGGGTTGGCGACGTGGTTGTCTCTAAGCCTGCAGTCTGCTCGGTCCCTAGGGCCAGATGATGAAAGGAGAAAGTCAGCTCCTGGAGCTACCCCGATCGCCATCAGTACGCTGTGGCAGGTGCATCCATAAATAAATTTTATAACGGTTTATCAAGACAGGGTTTCTCTGTGTAGTCCTGGCTGTCCTGCAATTCCCTCGGTAGATCTGTCTGCCTCTGCCTCCCCAGTCCTGTGCTTAAAGGTATGCATCACCACACCCAGCTTAAAAATAAAAATTTTAACTAAAAAATATTAGGGACTAGAGCCATGGCTCAGCAGCTAATACCACCAGCTGCTCTTGCAGAGTCGTGGGTTCACTGCCAGCACCTATGTGGCAGCTTACAGCTGTCTATAACTACAGTTCCAGGGGATCCACCAGTACTGTGCTTTGACATGGTGTACCACATACATGCAGGCAAAACACCCATAAACATAAAGTAAAAATAAGTTTTTAAATAACCACATGATGGAAGGATGACCAACTCCAGAGAGTTGTCCTCTGACCTCCATGCTCATGCATACAAAACAAACTGGTTTTAGACAATGTGAGCCCAGTGGGGAGAGACACCTCCCATTTCTGTCAAGTCAAACACAAGCAGGCATGCGAGCCTCTTCTGTGTTACAGTACTTCCTGTGTTCAATGAGAAGATGAGCAGGGCTTCCTGGAGAGAGACACGGCCTACAGCAAAGAGCAGGAAAGCTCTGTGGGCTCTGGCAGCTGCATGCACACAGTGGGACAGCAGGGCTGGGGAGGCCTGACCTGGTGGTAGTTGGAGAGGTTGCTGTGCATGTCCGCAATGTCCTCACTGGACACTTCTTTGATGACCAGAGTGCGGTCATAGGAGATAAGAAAGCGGCCATCACTGCCTTCGGTTTCACTTGGGGGGCTTCGAGTAAGGGATACCTGGAGACAGACAAAGAGCAGGCTAGAATCACCGCTTTCCATCCTATATAAACATACAGGGAAAAGGGCCAAACAACCCCTTCTCAAAGAAGATGAAAGTCTGCAGCAGGCTGCTGAGAGGGCTCAGTGGGAAAGGTGTTCACCCCCACGCCTGACGATTGGGATTGAATCCCCATGACACACTCGGTAGAAGAAAAGAATGACTTCCAGAAAGGTTTCCTGACTCCCACACACGCACATCCATTAAGCCACCCAAACGCACAATAAGTAAATATAACGCAATAAACCCTCAGGGAAGAGATTCAGTGAGGGTTCCTAATTTGGTTAGCACACATGACTGAGTGCAACTGAATGTCAAATCTAAATGTATGGACATCCTGCCCCACCAGGACAGCTTGACTATCCACCACAGTTCAAAAGATGCCCATGGCCACATACCACACACGCACACGCACACACATGCACACACCCAGGTACACAGACACATACACACAGGCATACAGACACAGGCACACAGACACATACAGACATCCACAGGCACACAAACACATACACAAGCATACACACAGGCACACAGACACAGATACATACAGAAACACACAGGCACGCGCGCGCGCGCGCACACACACACACACACACACACACAGAGGCATACAGGAAAACACAGGCACACATACAGATACACAGAGGCACATACACACACACACATAGGGATAGGCAGATAGACACAGACACATACAGACATGCACACAGGCACACATACACAGGCATGTACAGACACACAGATATAGACACAGACACATAGACATGTACACACACACACACACACACACACACACACACACACACCAGTAATACCCAAAGCTCTCAATTCTCTAATCATAATGGCCAACAGACTCTGGTCGCCAGAGACTACCCTCACCCCACAACAGACTCTCACCAAGTAATCGTGATCATCAATGGCAAACCGATCACGCAGGTTCCTGAAGACCTGGGGACAGTACTCCTTGAACTTGAAATGACTGGGAAGATTTTCTCTGAAATACAAGTTTTCCAAGGTGAGAAGTCAGTATCGCTTTACACTCATATGAAGCTTGCCTGTTCATAGAGCACCTTTACACTACTGCCTGGTTTAAGTCTCACGAAACCCTGTGAAGTACTTACTGCATTTATTTGGGTGGGGTGTGCTCAACTGTATGCACGTGTGGTATCATGTGTGGTGCATGCACGTAACTGTATGGGTGCACACACCTGTGTGCTCGAATACAGAGGCCACAGGAGGATGTCCAGTGTCTTCCTCTATTGCCCCTACGTTATGCTTTGAGACTGAACCCAAAGCCCACCATGTCTAATAAGCTCGCTGATCCAGCAAGTTCCCGGTTCCACTTCCCTCTGACTGTCCAATGCTAGGATCACGGGAACAGGTAGCCAACCCTGCTTTTTTATGTTTACTGGGATTCAGGTCTCAATGCTTGCTGTACAAATGCTCTTCTCGACTGAGACATTTCCCCAGCTACAACTTCATTTGTCTTTGTTGTTTTGGTTTTTGAGACAGGGTCATATAGCCCAGGTTTAGCCCTAAAATGTTATGCAGCAGAGGCTAGCCCTGAATCCTTATACTCCGGCCTCAGCCTTTGGCTGCTTTGGAAGGTATACTGTTACCACATCACAGAAAGGGCAAGTGTCTCGGAGGGATCGAGTGACCTGCCTAAGTCCCTTTGCTGGTCAATGGTGTAAGTAAAGCAGGACTCACTGTACACCCAAACAGTAGCATTCCTTAAATCCCAAGCCCAGTAGAAATAACATAAAATAGCCAGGTAGTAGTAGCACACACCTTTAATCCCAGTACTGGGAGGCAGAGGAAGGTGGATCTCTGTGAGTTCAAGGCCAGTCTGGTCTACAGAGTGAGCTCCAGGACAGCCAGTGTTATACAGAAAAAGACCCTGTCTCAAAGAACAAACCAACCAAATAAATATTAGTATTTACTGGTATTTTGAATATATTAGAGGGGTACTAGAGGTCGATTTTTTTTGGTCACAGAATTCCTATCAGAAGCTTCTGAATGTATTTATTCGACGGAACAAACTAGAAGAAAGGCAGCAGATATACACAAGAATGTAGGTAACTTTGGAAATATTCAAATTTAAAATTTTAATTATTTATTTAATTGGTTATTTTTGAGACAGGGTCTCTCTGTGTAGTCTATGTAGGCCAGTAGCTCAGTATGTACACCAAGCTACCTGGAAGTCAGAGGCCCATCCACCCGCCTCTGCCCCCCAAGTGCTGGGATTAAAGGTGTGCACCACCACATCCAGCTATTTATTCGTGCGTGTGTGTGCGTGTGTGTGTGTGTGTGCGTGTGCGTGTGCGTGTGCGTGTGCGTGTGCGTGCTTACACGTGTGCATGGAGGTCAGAAGACAACTTGCAGAACCTGTTCACCTCATCCCACCATGTGTGTCCTAGAGACTGAACTCAGGTTGTTAAACATGGAAGCAACAGCCCTCTCCTGCTGAGCCCTCAGATGGCTTTTTATTTGTTTTTTTTTGTGTTTTGTTTTTTTGCAAAACTGAATTTTTGCATTTGACTTCTAAACCTAAACTCTTTAACTCATTTAAAAATTTAAGACTATTTGCTATTCTCTTGGTTTTTTTTTTTTTTTTTTTTGAGAAAGGGTCTCACTATGGAGCCCTGGCTGGACTTTCGGAGATCCGCTTGCCTCTCTTCTGAGTGCTGAGATCGAAGGCTTGTTCCACCACTCCAGGCCTTATTTCTTTTTCTTCCTTTGAACACTTAAGTTTGTGTGAGTGTGGAAAGGTCATCTGGAAAGCTCATCTGGAGGTCAGAGGTCATCCTATGGCCGTCAGTTAACTCTTCCACCTTTCACTGTGTGGGTGCTGGGTACTGAACCCGCCTCCTCCTCAGGAGGCGATCTCCCTACCCACCCTACCGGCCCTCTGCTGTTCTAGATTTCCGTGAGAAGGCTAAGGACCACTCACCTATGGAAAAGGTGATTGTTGACCTTGATCTTGGAGCTGGCTTTAAAGTCATCCGGCAGCAGCATCACTGGGGGCGGTACCTGGCTGAGCTCGTTGATCTAGTGAAGCACAAGGAGGGCCGGTCTGGGCGAGAGTCGAGAAAGAGCATCCCAAAGCTCCCTCACAAGACCGGCTGCACATCTGCAGGAAGTGATAGAAAGGCCCTACCCCATCTGCTGCCCAAGAACTGCTGTCAGCCTCCCTCACGCTCCTCACACTCCCGCCCCCATGGAACTTCATGCTCACAACAGCCATTTTATATTTGGCAAGCCTTGCAAGCAACTCGGGACTATTTTTAAAGCTGTGAGAAATTCTAGAAAAAAAAAAAAGAGAGAGAGAGAGAGAAAGAAGAAAGAAAAGAAGAGAAAAGAAGAGAACCCCAAGACAGTTGCATGCTTAAAAAAAATGTATTTTTAAGGTGCAGAGAGTTAGTGGAACTCCAAGGGGCTGACGGCAATGCAGAATGAAATGTCCCTACAGACTGAGTAGCTCTTTACAGAAAGGACACTTCCGGATCACTCTGACCCAGTTCTCAGCAGTAGGTGCTACCTGCCTAAGCGAAGATGGAGGGAGAAGGAGTGATCTCCGAGACGAAGTACACTTTAGGTGTCTGCTCCCTTGGTGCAGGTCAGTCGACAGCAGGAAGGACACGGGGCAGGATGCAGGGGGCATAAGCTCCCTGGGTCCCCAAGCCTTGCAGCCCACTAACTCAGGGGAGACTCTTATCCGTCCTTTCTCATCTGTATTACTACAGCCCCCCCCCCCAACAGTACATCTGCACAGAACTCTAATCTCCAGCTTATATTAAGTCCCTCTCCTAGCTCTGAGCTCTGCAAGGGCAAGGGCCCCTTCTAATCAGCACCTTACGGAGGTTTAGCTACTACAGTGTTTGGCACACAGTGGTCCCGAACGGCTTCTTAAATGGATAGATGATGTCTGTCCTCATTTGCCCACTTGACAAAGGTTACAGATTGCAGTCTAACCTAAATCCCACGTGCTGCAGTGCAAGCAACTGCTCTTGTCCTCGGGAGAAAAAGAGGACAGAACATATTCCTTCAGAAATTAAAAAAAAAAAAAAAAAAACTACTTGAGATTCCCAGCCTGAAATTCAGCTTTTCCTGCCCGTTCCTCGCCACCTGCTAAGCTCGCTGAATCATCGCTAAGACATATGTTGAAGAAATTTCTCTGACCTACACACTTGAGGTACATGTGTGCGGCTGGAAATAGAGGTGTAGCCGCTAAAGCGGAACTTCAGCCTAAATTTTACCTAAAGAGTGTGAGGCGGGGCTTACAGGTAATTCCTCCAGTTCGTACCAAAGGAAACCCCTCCCCTGTATGTACATGTTCCACAGGGACGTGTGAGTCATCTGCTCCCCACTCGTCTTACCCACAGCAAGTGCTTTACACGGAATCCTCACTAAAGAGAGTACCCCTGAGAGAGCACCCAAGGCGGAAGGGAGCTAACTGACCCACCAGTGATGTGCCAATCAGAAAACAAGAATGTTTCATTCTTCCTCAGTCCCTTACATCTCCACAACATATGTCTACAACCCAAATTAGTTGATAACCAAAATAGTCCCTGTCAAGATCAAGACCACTGCTACTCCCGATCTAAAGGAGAGAACCAGCTATGTCTCACGAGCTCCGGCTCCTCTACGATATCCTCAGGACAGGAGGTGTACTGGGCCCATTGGTCTTAGCTTCACCTCTCCGAGCCCCTTCTGGATTCTAAAGTCCTTGCGACCACAGCTCCTCCGCCTTTCCCTGGTTACAGATGTCTCCATTTATACCAAATGCCATCATTCCCTCCAACAATGGGGACGCAGCTAAGCCCAAAGACATATATTAGCATATCGACCTCACTGAGTGCATCATCCCTAGGGTCAGAGTGGGGTAACGTCTCTGAAATGCTGAATCTCTAGAAAGGGTAAGCAGGATTAGAAGAACCAAAAAAGCCTAGAGGCATTCCCAGAAAAAAGCCAAGGCTCGAAAGTCAAGGACTGGGGCTCGAAAGCAAGGCGGAGAGGAAATCAAACCACTTCTTAGGCCAGGCAGTAGTACCCAGACACGCTTCACGCACTGTCGCACCCAGACCTCACCAATAACCCTTCAGAGCCACTCCCCTTAATGTCCCTCTGGCTGCAGCCGGATCCTGGCCAGTCCCTGTAGCCTGGGGCTGGACCTGACAGGAAGGAGTCAAGGAACAGAGCTGGATTTCAGGTGGAGAAGATGGAACTCTAGGGGAGGAGTAAAGGGTAGGGAGAGACAAGAGTCTACACCAGAAGCCAGCCTGGGGACACCCGGGAATGGTGCGCTGGGAAGCAGGCCGGGCGGGGGAGAGGCGGTAGCGCGAGGACCCGGGAGACCCTCAGGCCGAGGAGCAGGAGCCGGGGTCCGGGTCGGTTCTTACCGAGTGGGCGACGCCCCACAGGAACACGCCCACCAGCGGGTCGGCGGCCCGGAACACCTTCACTTTCTGCTGCACGAAATGCTTCTTCTTGGTTTTGGAGGCGAAGCCGAATCCCGGGCCGGGGCCTCCAGCTGCCGCGGGTGCGGTGGCGGGAGGTACGGAGGAGGACGCCATAGTCTCCCGCGCACCCGAGCGAGTGGAAGCGGGAGCCGGCCGCGACTCCGAAGCCCGACCCGGAAGCGGTGCTCACCTGCGCAGCCGTCACGTGACCGGAGGCCCGCCCTCCCCCCGGCGCGCGAACGGGGCGGGGCGGGGCCGGCGAGGTTGGCTCCGCCCCGTCGGCAGCGCGGCGGTCACCTGGCGCGGGTTGCGCTCGCAGGGATGCGGGGTTGGCGCTGTGCAGGGCGGCGCTATCCGCCGTTTCCGGTTCTGTCCAGTTTCTAGTGAGTGAGCTCTGTCCATAGACAGACGCCGAGACTCTGAGACTGGTCTCCTTGCCCAGTCCAGACTGGCTTCAAACTTGCTATCCTCCTGCCTCATTCTCATACCAAGTATGGGTATTACGGAGGTGTGGATTGCTCCTCCGTGAAGTTGGGGCTGCAAAGTAAGAGACATGTCAAATTTAAATATATATGTATATATATATACATATATATGTATTAAATATATGTGTATATATAAATATATATGCACATGTACATATACATATATATGTGTGTGTTAAATACATGTGTATTTATAAATATGCATATGTATATATACATGTATATATATTTAATTGTTTTATGTATATAGGTGTTTGGCTGGCACGGTGTAAGTGCAGTGCCCCGGAGGCCAGAGGAAGACCTCAGGTGCTCCAAACTGGAGTTGTGGATGATTGTGAGCCACCATGTGGGTGCTGGGAGTCGAACATGGTTCTCTGGAAGAGCAGCTATTGCTCTTAACCGCTAAGTCACCTCTTTATCTCCTGGAAGTATAAAATTTTTGGTCATGGCCCCAAGTTCCTTTTGAATTCGTTTATTTTTTTTCTCTTCTCTCTCTCGCTCTCTCTCTCTCTCTCTCTTTTTTTTTTTGGTTTTTCGAGACAGGGTTTCTCTGTGTAGCCCTGGCTGTCCTGGAACTCACTCTGTAGACCAGGCTAACCTAGAACTCAGAAATCCGCCTGCCTCTGCCTCCCAAGTGCTGGGATTAAAGGCGTGTGCCACCACCACCCGGCTTGAATTCGTTTATTAATTCATCTATTCAACAAGTATTTATTGAGGACATAACTTGAACCCACTACCGTTTTTAGGCTGATTCTCCTCTGACTGAAGCAAAGAAAAAATTACACCCTAGAGTAATTAAAAGTCTAAAGGCACCGACTAGCAAAGGAGAAGGCTGCAGTATTAAGAGATAAGGACTGTGCTAAAGCTGTGTGCTGAAGAGTGATAACTCATAAAGGGAGGTGTAATTGGTCAGGGTGCCTTCCAAGAGGCAACCCCGGCCAGGTGACAGCCGCGGGCTGAGGGGGCGGAGCCAGCCTCTCGACTAGGCGTAGAAAGCTGAATCCATTAGGGTTTGGTGGCACCCGACTTTAATCCAGCACTCTGAGAGGCAGAGGCAAGTAGATCTCTGAGTTCCAGGTCAGTCTGGTCGACAGAGCTAGTTTCAGGACAGCCAGGGTTATACAAAGAAACCTTGTCTCGAGAAACCAAAATAAATAAATAGAAAGGTAAGTTCAGAGCAAGATGTTAAAAGGCTTCCTAGGCAGAGAACAGCGCACAAAGATGAAGACCAAAAGGAGCCTAGTTTGCCTAGGTTGTAGGTAGTAAGGTGACTGTCAGCTCAAAGCAAGTGTGTGAAGACATAAGGTTAGAGAGGGGAGGTGGGTACAGGAGACCCTTTTCGCTTCACACTGCTAGTGTGTTTGTTCAGACATTCCAGTGGATGACGAACACTGCCAAAATCCGTGTGCTGATGGTGAGCTAACCCAGTGAGGAGGAAATGGCATCTACAGGGACATAGTTTGAGGCCGGAAGTGTCCCTCAGTGCTACAGTGTTTGGCTAGCATGTGCAAGTCCTGGGCTCAGTCGCCAGTTCCTTAATATAGAAGTACATGACTAAATAAAAACAGCTCAAGGTCAGTTTGGAAAATTCACTGAGGGAATTTGAAGGAAAGGAGGATACTGAAAGCCCCGGCTGTGGCTACACCAAGAGACTGTGGTGATTGGAAAAGAGCACCACCAGGGAACTGGACATATGGGCCCAATGTTTAGCAGAGCACTCTAGGCTGGGAATACAGGTTTAAGGATTGCCATGGACTCTGTTAAAATAGAGCTAGAGAGATGGCTCAACAGTTAGAGCACTAACTGCTCTTCCAGAAGACCTGGGTTCGGTTCCTAACATCCACACAGCGGCTCACAGTCACCTGTAACCCCACTTGCCAGGGATCCTGTTTCATCCTGCATAGCTTAGTCCTGGAAACCTAACTTGGGGTGGGGATGAAGAAAGGACAGATAGAGACTGAAGAAACCATAGACACACAGACAGAAAAGGTGGGGTGTGGAGAGTTTTGGGGGCCACCTTCTAGTAATCTGGCATGAATTTGACATTGGGCTAGGACAAGAAAGTAGGCTTAAGAGGAACAGTAGAGGAATGTGTTCTTTGTATCTTGATGGGTCTTAATTCTCTGGATACAGTAATCACGGGATCTTTGTTTATGCTTTGTCCCTTAACTACTTTGTTTATGCCTTAGAACTGACTTTATTCTTTGCTTGTACTTAGAATAGTATAAAAGCAGGCTGGAGAAAAATAAACCCGCTTTAGCCCCAGCACTGCCTGGAGTCATGTTATAATGTTGTCTAATTGTCTTTTTTTTCCTTTCAATCCTCACTCCCTTCCTTTGAGACTCAGTTGACTGATTGAGCTGGCTTGGTCAGTAGGGTTAGGTGTACTGGGCACATCCTGACTGAGGGCAACTCTAGATACACTGTACGCAGAGAAAGCAGGGTTTAGCTAGTTCCAGGACAGGAAGTTGCAGTTTGCTTCTGGAGAGTTGGCTGTAAGAAAATAAATTCAGCTGTGCACGTGGTGGTAACGTACACCTTCAATTCCAGCACACAGAAACAGAGTCAGGTGGATCTCACACAGAGGTAGACTCAGGTGGATCTTTGAGTTCAAGTCCAGCCTGGTCTGCATAGGGAGTTTGAGGCCAGCCAGAGACACGCAGTAAGACCCTGTCTCAAAAAACAAATACGTCCAGAGAAAAGAGAGCCATCATTTGTGTGTAAGGGGAAGGGAAGGATATGTCCCGCTGTGTGACTTTTCCGGCAAGATATAAACAGCAAACGGAAGGAGGTGGAGTGAGGAGTTACCTAAAGGAGTATAAAAGACTCCAAGCAAGCTGTGTCACCAGCTGTGTCACCGAAGGCCCATCCCCAGGTGAAGCCACATCTCTCCTCTCCTGCCCACTTTGCAACAGCTCAACAGAAGACTCTCTTCTCCTGCAGCTCTTGCTAAAGGCTTACAGAACTGTTTGAGCAGCTGGAGACATCAGAACTTTCTGTGATCCCTGAATCTTGTAAGTTTTAGGAACTTCCAGTCTTAGGAGCCCCCCTCCTTCCTTCAGAGGAAATAGTTACACAACACCTCATCCTTCCTCTGACTCTTAGATCCTTGCTTCCCTCTTTTCTGTGATGTTGCCCGAGTCTTGGGAAGGGGTGATACCGATGTGTGATTTTTTCCCTCCCATTTACCACTGAGCATTGGGCCACTTCAGCAGTCTCAAAGCTTGGTCTATTATGACTCTCCACAGTGGCCACTGGGGGAAAGGGAAGTTTCCCTCTAAGAAGGCTGAAAGTTTCGGCCACAGATCTTTGCCTGGCTTACAGCACCGAAGCTTAATTCACTCCCTTAGGAAAGCACTTAGTTACACAACTGTTGCTCCAGTGGGTACATCTTTCCTGGGATGTTGGTAACATAAGAACACAGGATCCATAACTGAGCAGAACTGCTGGTAAGAATCATACCCCCAGAGAATGCATAGTGCCTTTTGGCACTGTGAAAGCCAGCTGTCAGGGAAGACACATCCCTATCAGTCCCAATTGGGCTTCCCTGTGCCCTATAGACAAAGAATTCAGTGTCTCCAATAGCAGGATCTTGACATCTTCTGGCATTTAAGTTTGGCCTCAATTTATAAGAAACTATCTCATTCCTATCACTGGGATATTATTCACTAACCTTATTGATTCTGGGAATAACCTTTTCTACCCATCCTGGCTGATTTCATGTCAATGACACAAGGTAGGATCATCTGAGAGAAGAGAACCTCAGCTGAGAAAATGCCTCCATAAGACCAAACTGTAGGCGGGGCCCGTAAGGCATTTTATAATTGATGATGGGGGAGGCCCCAGCCCATGGTGGGTGGTACCATCCCTGAGCTAATGGTCCTGGATTCTATAAGAAAGCAAACTGAGCAAGCCATGATGAGCAAGCAGTACTTGTCCATGGCCTCTGCATCAGCTCCTGCTTCTAGATCTCTGCCTGGTTTGAGTTCTTTCCTTCGCTTCCCACGATAGACTGTGATTCAGGATATGTAAGCCACATAGCCCTTTTCTCCCCAAGCTGCTTCTGGTCATGGTGTTTCTTATCACAGCAATAGTAGTAATCTTACCAAGACATCACCCATGCAGGAGACTTTCCTTTAAGTTCTTTAACCGTGGCTTTAACTCTTCTAAGATGCTTTCCAAATCTGTACTACGCCCAGGGGTAGCATTGCATAACAGAATCTTTCTAAAGAGGATAGGCAAGTTCTCTGAAGGCCCACCACCATCTGTTCTGAGGGAATGCCAGTTGGTCTTAGGTGGCTAAGGAGAGACTTCAAAAATGTCAACAAGGACCAGTGTATCGTGAACGAATCTTCATCAAAACGGAAGTGCTGGGTACAGTGGCGTGGATGCAGGACATTTCTCTGTGTAGCCCCTCACAATCTAGTCCTTTCCTATGAGTCATCTGACCTCGTCCTGGAGGTCTGCTGCTGCCATGCCTGCGACCAGAGCCGGCTCTCCAGCTCGGTGGCCATGGCCTGCCTCTCCATGAGCCACATCTGGCTGCTGAAGGGGTCCCAGGCTTAGCAAGCAGTTTCCACCACGCCTAGAAAGCATCCCTTGGTAAACTGTTGCTCAATTTTATATCCTTAGAGTCTCACAGTGC